TCAAACCCTTATTCATCCCCTTGAGCGCTCATTCCCAAAGGCAACGATGGAAAATTGGAAAGCAATACAGCTCAGTGGAGAGCAGCAAGGGCCCTCACACCTGCCGACTCTTATTCGCAATCTCTACGGTACACAACACGTGTTTGCCACTATTTGCACCCTCCCTGCACTTACGTTTCAGACTCGGGGTTTTAATCACACGTTTTGGTTGATCGCTTTTGAATATATATACGAAGCTTCACCTAAACCTGAAGTAGTCCGCACGATCTTACCTTGCAGAGAACTCAAGACTTGAATTGCCTGTGCTGAAGTTGAAACGTTTCAACGGCACAGATTGCGGTTTAGACTTTGGGGCCATGATGGTAGATCCAAGTCTCGTAACCAGCCATGAATTGCCTAAACCAGTGGTTCATAAACCTTTACTGCAGTCTTTGCACCCCTTTAGTTCTCAATCGTAGAAAAAAATGTAATGTTAATACACAGGTTTGATGAAGCAAAGTAGTTGTACTCACGTGTCTGTGCTTAATTTGTTTCGATGATTTACCTTCTAAAAAAAATCTGCCATGCCTCGCACCCCCAGAAAGGGCATCTCTTATCCCCAGGGGATGCGCGAACCCCAGGTTAAGAACCACTGGCCTAAACCGTTGTCCCAGTTTGCCTTCATCGGGTCTAGATTGCCATGAAAAGTTGTAGTCAGAAAGGAGGCTCCCTCTTGATCATGCGTTTCATTATTCTGGGGACCAAACGCGCGTGTATGAGCACACATTGTTCATTCACAATTGCTCATGCAAGATTGGCACTAATCCCTCCCGAACACCCAATGTGTTGGATAACTGGTGCAATAGTAATAACACGACAGCCTTCCAAAACTATGTATTGTACAGCCTTGATGGGGTTTTTTTTTCTTCTCATTCTCTGCAGTCACAGGACATCCTGACCTGGGGTCAACTTCCAAGAGTCAATGGTGAAATGCTGCAGCCCACCTTGTGACCGCTGCACACGGCAGTGCATTATCCCCACACACTTCCACTGTGCGATGACAAGCACATGCGGTTTTATGATTTGAAGCATGCATCACGTTAAATGTAAAATAGACAACAAAATCATCCGGAACAAAGCAATCGAGAATATTTCCCCGAGCTCTTGAGTATTGTATACTCCACATAGTTTATAAATAGCTGCAACATCGGTGGCCTCTGGCATTTAAAGCTTCATTAGGGTCATACATTTTTGTACTACCCGAGTACAACGTATATCAGTTAAAAATGGTCTCGGAAGTTTAAGTCCCGGTTAACAGTTTCAAAAAATGGTACATATTAAGCTACATTGTAAGCTACTTTGCAGAGATGTTTTTGAGCTAATATACAATGTTTATTGGAAAGCTGATTTTTTTTCAATCGCTTCAAACACGTGTTGAGAAGTTCCCGACGACTCACTCGGAGGCTGAGGTAAGTTAAGGGCTTCCGCCAAAGGTTTATTACAAATCTTAACAGCACACAGGGGTGAACAACTTCCCAGGGGTTAGGGGTCCCGGGTTGGGTCCTGACACAGCCGGCTGCCCCGTGCTGTCTCCTCTGCGCCGGCCGTGGGATCGGCCAACACGGCCGACCTTGGAGCACAGCCACGTCCAGCCTGGCACTGTGCCCTCTCCCCTATCCCTACCCTCTTGCCCCTGGCTCTCCAGCTACGACCCCGCTGACGTCACGGGGTCCCCCCTTAATCCTTGAGCCGTGACGTCATTCTGCTGCCCCGAGCGCATGACGTCACGTCATCGCACTGGACAGCACACGTGACGACACTTCCCCATTCTACTCCTCTACACGCGTATCTCTGTGTTGCAAGAAAGGGTGAGACAGCGAAGAACGGAGATGCAAGAGTGGAAATTCAGACAAACGGAGATGCAGACAATGGCACCGATTCGTTCATTTGTTTCTCAATCTGCAATCAGCAGCATATTGAGTAGGGCAGTCCAGACCTCCCTTTCCCTGGCAATGGACTCCAGCTCTTCCTGGGGAATTCCCAGGCGTTCCCAAGCCAGCCGAGCGATAGTCCCGCCAGCGTGTCCTGGGCCGGCCCTGGGGTCTTTGCCCAGTGGGACATGCCCGGGAGCGTTCCAGGGGGGAGTTTACCGGTGGGCATCCCTTACCAGGTGCCCAAACCACCTCAACTGGCTCCTCTCGATCCAGAGGAGCGGCTCGACTTTGAGGCTCTCCCGGATTACCGAGCTCCTCACCCAATCACGGAGAGTGAGCACGGCAACCCTGCGGAGAAACCTCATTTCTGGCCCTTGTGCCCGCAATCTCATCCTGTCGGTCATTACCCAAAGCTCATGACCACAGGCGAGGGTGGTACAGTGCCCACATCACTGCAAATTGATTGAACTGGTAAAACATAATTAAGCCTTAGTAATAGGTTTTTACCCTTTTATCTGGCACCAAAACTGACACCTTTATACAAGGGATCATGTTTGCAATAACCACAACACAAGCAGTCAAACTGCAAGCAAAAAGAGACAACTCTGATAATATGCACCGTCCTTGAAATTGATTGGTCCACACCCGAGACGGCTTTTCTTAGAGCCTAGTCTCCACTGGTGTTGGACCAGATGACGCCAAAAGGCATAATTAAGCCTTCACTATTTTTATTTTTAGTGCTAATTTTACCGATAAGATCGATAACGTATTCATATTTCGTGTATGAATTTTTGCAAAGGCTAAAGTACATGTACAATAATGCACACAAATCAATAAACGTTCAATATTGCAGTTGAGAAAATTTACTTTAATTCGTAATTTAATTACTTTTGTCGGTAACAAGCTAACCCGTTTAAAATGTAAGTCAAATATGGAAAGTTTTTTTTTATCGAATGCAATATTTGCACTCTCCAGATCGTTGTTTGTCGAGTATCAGTGCGTCCACATCACGTGATCATCTTGTGCCAACTGCTGAGCAAAAGTTGTCTGTCACGGGGGACTCGTGGCCAGTTTTACTTTTAACACCCCAGATATGAATTGCCACGTTTTTTTGTTATTTTTCATTGCGGCAAAACACATTTTATTTGGTTTAGTTTTCAGCTTCCATTCTAGAAAATTAACCGTTTGTCCCTATTACCGGTTCTGTTCTTTTTTTTACAAAACTAAGGCCTCCATGACCTGCACGGCGTGGAAATGTTCTTATCTTGAAGTGGTTGACAAGAAAAGGTTTGTGCATAAAAGGGCACCACCTACAATAATATGCCAACAAAAACACGCTGCTGCAACACAATGGAGAATATTGTACGTTATCATCACAAATGAGACAAAAGTGGATGTCAGCAGTATATCCCACACTTACATTTTTATTGTTCCAAGATAAGCACAACAGCTCATTTAAGCCATTTAACTTGCTGTGTTTATAATACAGATAAACTGTAAACATGCGCATAACAGTATGCGCAAACAACCAAGTCCAATATCGATACCAGCTTCCCGAAAAAAAAGGTTCGCGTGGAGATTAAGATCCACTAAATTTACAATTGTAGAATTAAGCAAAATTGTACATTATATACAAGAATCCCTCACCAACCGCGGGATTCATGTATACACGGTTTATTATCTGTATACCATATTCTTTGGTTCTGTCGGCAAAGTCACATAGATAGAAAACAAACGTTATTTATTTATATACTGACCTGACCTCTACCGAAAGACCCAAAGAGTATAAAATGCAAAGACATATATAAAACCCAAAAACTCACGACGTTTCTCGATCGCAACACAAGCGGTCGTCATCAGGCGGAAAGAAAATGGGGGTGTGAAGCCTCGAATGCAACTGCTTATAAAGGTTTAGAAGTGGGCGTAGCCCAAGTGTCAGAACTGAGTGGGCGGAGCACAAGAATCTAGGCCAGCAGTGGATAGAGCATTCTATAGAGATGGAGTCTAGGCCATGATAGAGCAAACGCTATAGAGATGGAGCCTAGGCCAGCAGTGGATAGCGAATGCAATAGGCATGGTGCACTAGAGGTAGTCTAGGCCAGCAGTGTATAGAGCAAGCTATAGCCAGTAGTCTAGTTGTAAGTCAAAATTTATCTGTATATACCAATTGACCAAACGCAGCCTGGTCCGCAACAAGCTCCTGCGGAGGGCTTCTCAGCGCTTCACCCCATTGTCCTCACCCCCCGTGTGCACAGACTACTGCCTCTATTGTATGTAGGGTGTGTAGGCATATTAATCATTTATCGGGACCCTGGGGTCCCGCAAAAATCAGGTCAATAATCATTATTATTTTTCAGTCCGCCCACTCGTGACCCCGACAGCAACGCGCCGCCCGCCCAGACTCGCCGTGCCAACAAGCGCCAGCAGCAGGCGGCGATCGACACGATGGGCGCCACCCCACCGGCCAAACGCAAGCCCCGGGGGGCGTCCGCCGCAGTTGCGCGCGGCGACGACGCCCTCCGGTCAGCCGTCGATCCTCGGCTTCTTTGCCAAGGCGAGCCTGCCCCCCAGGCAGTGAATTTAACGTGTTTACGTAATTTTTAAACTTTTTACGAAACTTAGTGCCCCGAGTAGCTCTCGACGAGGCCAATCGATCGACACTAGTTTTGTTGTTGTCGGTAAGGCAAGACTCGTGTCGCTACGCGGTTTTTCCCACCCCGGGGCAGTGATGGGACCCCGGGGTCCTACCAATTGCTTAATATCTGCCTACAAAATAAAAACAATTTGGGGGGGGGGGGGGGGTGGAATCAACAATCGTTGTAAACCTGTTGGATCAACTTTTTACCCCCACATCTGGTGGGGGTCTCTCATAATTTAGTTGGACAAACGGAACACCAGGCTTTTACAATAGAATTCGCGGGGCCGTGGTTCTCCTCCAACACCACCGCACCACCCGCGGCTCTGCGTAGCTCATCAGCTGTTCTGTTTGTTGTGTTGCCATCGTCACAGCGCATGGACTGCGTCGCATCGCAACAATACAGAGGTGTTCCGAGACTTACAAAAAAATGCTTCTGCCATCCATCCTTACTTTTTTTTCAAAGCCAGCAACCACCAATACAGGCAGCAGCACCCACTGTGCCTGTCCACTCATCTGTCATTGATAACCCGGAGGAAGAGAATGGGCTGAGCCTCTCCTTCTTCTAAACACCCCTTCCCCCATAATCTCGTCATTAACATCATAACCATGGATTTCTACCCTCAATATTAAAGGTATGTAAAGCGAACGTAATGTGTATTTATGTTATTGTGTAATGTACTGTATTAAGTGTTGTGAACAGGCAACTTAGTTCAGCCATGACACGTCTGACTGAACCGAACTCGCACGGTTGGTGAGGGATTGCTGTACCTTATTCATGACATAAATATTTCGAAGGGGGGGAAAAAACTGGTGACATCACAGCGCTTGTGCCACGTGAGATGCACTTTGAGGTCATGTGATGTGGCGAAAGCTCTTGTAGCTGGCAAGAACCTTCGATACACGCACATAAGACGAAGTTTCCCCATGTAGCCTTTACCAGACTCATGGAAAGTGCTGTTAAAGAGCACCTACGAAGGTCGGCACGGTGCACAAGGGGGTGGGTGGCCAACACCAAGCCCGGCCGCCTTTGTCTCTCTCGTGGCATGGCAATTACACAGTCCCAGATACTCATTTGACGCCGAGTCGACCTAGGGGAGGACCATGACAAGGTTCAAATAATCATCACTGGTCTTGGCTATGAATCGAACCCGAGTTGCCGGGCTTGTAGCGCAGTACGCTTCACAGCTACACTATACACGGTTACAGATGAACATAATCCACTGATGGACACATTCACGAGTCTGCTGCACCACAGCACAGGTCCCGGAAAACGACCCCTGCATGACAGACCGCGCTCGTAGCACAGCGCTACCTCTCCCCTAGAGACACATCGAGAGACATACACCTAACAGACATGATGTACTACTCGTAAAGTATGTGCGCCATGTGGTTAAATGTTTTTCATACTTTGCATTTAGATTTCATACAAATTCTGGAAAATTTAGATTTAATTCAATAAAATCCAGTATTTTAACTCTATGAAAACTTATCCTAATTTAAACAAATTGAGATGCTTGCAGGTTAGGGTCGTATGTCTAATGAAAACGGGATGGGTCGGGGGTGTAACTGCACCTCCGATTAGCACAGCTGGCTACATACAGTGCGAAATAAGTTCAACATACATAACAAGTGGACCCAGGTTGGGTCAAATCGGGGGATCTAATTAAAGCGGGTCGGGTTGCAAATAAGACAGTGATGTTGAGAAGGTTGCGGGGTCGGGTTGAGTGAGGCAGTAGCGGGGGTGGGGTCGGGGGACAGGTCTAAAAGTTAGAGACCTGCGCAGGACTTGACTGATGACTCGGGGAGGTTAGCTAGCCTGGAAGCCATTGATAGTCCAACGTGGCCCTAGGTGACGTCATTGCCACCTGCCGCTCACTAGCCCAGGACACCTTCTGACACCAGCCCTGCTGCACCAGCCAGCAGTTGAGCTCCTGTTTGCGGCCGTCACGCTCGACGTTTGCAGTGACGAACACGACGTGCAGGGGTGACACGCTTTCTACGCGGGCAACCAGTACTCTGTCAAGCACCATTTCCCTGAAGATTGACCTGTGAAAACAAACAAAAGCAAGCCTAAGTTAACCCTTTGCTGTCCCGATGACGTACACAAAACTGGAACTAAAATATCTGTACCGCTTCTCCCACAAGGCCATGCGGGACAGCGTGACAGTTTGGCGCCAGCTATCATAGGGTGCGGTCGTGTCGTTACAGTTCTCTGCAGTGAGTACAATGTCTTTATATATTGATAAAAATTTATTAGTAATTTAGAAACATATTACAATACCAATATAATTACTTAAGATATATTTGGGTTAGATTGCATAAATGTCGCTAAAACCCACCACCACCCGACACAGCCAACTAGTAAGGGTTGTCACGTAAAGAGAATGTGGCCAATTCGTCACTAGTACAGCACACCGGTATACTGGAGAGCTAAGCCACGACATTTACAATCCGAGTACGACGTTTCGTCAGTAATTACAACTAGCTTCATCAGGCGACAGCCAGATTTGTGGAGGTCTGTTTCGTTCCTTAGAGGCATAGATGTGGTGACCACGCTTCTGGGCTCTCGCGCAAATTGCGGGGGGGGGGGGGGGCGGTATTACTGAGTCAACGTACATTATGCATGCGCATTGTGCGAGCCCTTTGATCTTGTCCTTCCTGTCCATTGTGTGTATTAAAATAGCCGTACCAACGGTAATCCCTATTCAAGTATGCATGCCTTTATAGGCATGCATTTAAATCATGTATTATTTTAGTATTCGCTTCCACGCAGCACCAAGGTGGTAGCTATCCGAACGGTTAAGGAAATACAAATAACTTTTAAGAAATAAAAATAATTTTTAAGAAAAATAATTTTAACCGTTCGGATAGCTACCACCTTAGTGATGCGTGGAAGCGAATCCTCAATACATTATTTCAATGCATGCCTATAAAGGACAGCATACGTTGCGCAAGAGCGCAGAAGAAGTGTGGTCACCACATCTCCGCCTCTATATAAGGAACGAAACAGTAAGACTTCTCCACAAATCTGGCTGTCGCCTGATGAAGCTAGTTGTAATTACTGGCGAAACGTCGTACTCAGATTGTAAATGTTGTGGCTTGGCTCTCCAACGCACCGGCGTGCTGTACTCGTGACGAATTGGCCACGTTCTGTTTACGTGACAACCCTTACTAGTTGGATGTGTCGGGTGGTGGCAGTTTTAGCGACACATTTATACATTTACGCCATCTAACCCAAAAAACCTCTATTATGGATCATATTGGTCGCGAAAAGCCTACGTGTTAAACTGACTAAATGTTTAATTGCATACGATGCAACATACATCCTTAACAACACGACTCAAAAAATTAGTAATCCGCCTTTTAATCATTATCCGTCACAGCTTTATAACTCATCGGTGTAGTTCTGCTGCCATTTACTTCGCTATATCGCTTGTCCCTTCGTGAGTCAGAGCAACACCGTGCAAGTTACATTCGAGGGCCTGGAAAGGCACGTGAAGGAACTCGGGCTTCATCGCGTGGACCTGCGACTCGAGGACGCACTCCATCCTGCCCTTGTCCACGAGGAACACCTCCAACGCAAACAACAGTTGCATCAAGAGGATCACAATATGCTCCTCCGACACCACAACACATATGGAGGGGGGGGGGACACTCAACAGGGTCTGGGAGACTGCAAAGCAGGAAACTCACTGACTCCAGACAGCAGAAAGGACTTTATGTATGTTGAACTTCTTTCGCACCGTACGTAGCCAACCACGCTAATAGGGGGTGCGGGGGAAGGGGTTGAGCTTGATAAGAGACCATCGCTGCATTTCCTATTGACATCGATTAAAACACGCATCGTTACACCCCGACCAACTAAACTAGTGGTTACCACTACAGGGAAGGTTTACCTCTTGAAAGATAGGGCTCCAAAACGAAATGTCCCCATCCCACAAGTGAATAATGACATACAAACCATCTTTAACCAGGCAAACAACCCACTGCAGGGGGTGAAAATGTACAAAGGCAAGCATGAAACATCAGGAATTAAACAGAAAACAGCGCCAAAAATTCAAGTCTAAAAATGCGAACAAAAATAAATCACGATTTAAAGCTTTCGTGACTGCAAGGATTCATCTTCTTTGGTTCTTTCGGTAAAGTCACGTAGAATGAGAATAAAATAATAAATTGATAAAATAAAATAACAATAAAATTCTCACGACGTTTCGGCCACAACACAAGCGGCCTTCATCAGGTGAAGGGACGAGACTGTCTGGAGGACAGCGCTGGAGCAAAAAAGCCACGCTCAGATCGCGACCTTTAAGCTGTGTGAGAAGAAACAAAGCGCCTTGACAAAGGAATTAGCATAGAATTTAGCATTTAAATAGCTGAGTGATTAGCTTGGAACTGGTCACAGAAATAGCTATGTTAAAGTCAGAGCAGCTGTCTCTCTCCCCCTCCTCTGTTCCGACCATGGATGAACTCGTCCGTCTGAATGGGGCCCGTAGCTATCCGTGTTGCTAAAGTTGAGGGTAAGAATCCACCCAATTTTTTTCGCCATATAGCATTGTGATATATAACGACTTATTGTTGGTAGCTTAGCTGATTGGAGAATATATAGTTTATTGATAACATTGAGGTAATGTATATTTTAGTTTATTGGTTCACTATATAGTATTCATTATATATTGTAGTGTATACCCAGTTACTGTGAATAGCTCAGATGTGTAGGCCTTGACTTCAACATAGCCATTTCTGTGACCAGTCACAAGCTAATCACTCAGTTATTTCAATGCTAAATTTGCCTAGTTATTTCAAAGCTAAATTATCCTGTTTGATTTGTACTAGGGGCCTCTGTGAATGTATATGCTTTAACTTTAACATAGCCATTTCTGTGACCAGTCACAAGCTAATCACTCAGCTATTTCAATGCTAAATTCTATGCTAATTCCTTTGTCAAGGCGCTTTGTTTCTTCTCACACAGCTTAAAGGTTGCGATCTGAGCGTGACTTTTTCGCTCCAGCGCTGTCCTCCAGACAGTCTCGTCCCTTCACCTGATGAAGGCCGCTTGTGTTGTGGCCGAAACGTCGTGAGAATTTTATTGTGTTATTTTATTTGATCAATTTATTATTTTATTCTCATTCTACGTGACTTTACCGAAAGAACCAAAGAAGAAAAATAAATCACGTAGAAAAAATACAGATTTTCCATAAAACACAATATCACTGGTAAATCAGTTTGGAGTTGCCATCACCAGTATGTGGAAGCACAGTGAGAAAGGCCCTACAACTTACCTTGACCTGAAAGGGCGCTGGGTGAAGTTCACACATGCGAGCGCGATAGAACTGGTTATTGGAGTTCAGGCGCACCACCACCAGCTCGCCCAACGCTGGCAGTGTCGTGGTGGCCTCGTGGAAGCTATACTTGCTGTAATGCTCCTGCAGGTCGGCTATCATCTCTTTGTACGTGTCTAGATCATACTGGTGTGTGACCACAGCATCCACTGCGCCTTTGCTGTGCTCGTCTGCGCAAGTAAAATCAAGGCGTAAAAAAAGGGGGGAAAAACTATTAAGGTGCAGTCCAGCAGTTTCTTGGTCATGCTACTGATGGCGAAGGGGCTTCCACTAGAGACACCTCTAGACGGTATATATATATTTCACACCTAATGCGAAAATGTATTTTATGGTGTACAGTAATTTAAAGAAAACCCTTGGAATTAGATGGACAATATAATTCTGAACACTTAACTTTCAATTATTTTGAATTATTGTATGGAAACGTCTAAAACATGAGTGCATAAGCTCCTCAAACTTAAGTAGCACGAGTGAAATGTTGGCCTTTTTAATTAACCCCTTCCATCGTAACTTAAACAGACTCCCATGCATTTTTATGACTGCCAATCCATTTGTACACCTCAGTATATTATCAATACAAATTATACAAAAAAATGCAATTCACTTTTTATCAAAAACCAACATCTCGACGTAACTATTATCACCACTAATAAAAAGGCTGCCCCTCTTCAGAATTATGGGGTTCTCCCTTTTCCTTGCTGATAGCAACCATGCCAATTCATGTCTCCAATTGGACAAAGTTTGAGTCGATGTGTTGTGCGTAGGGATGGTCAAATCCAGGAATTCAGGTGTCCTGTTCATATCAAGTGATAATTAGCTCCCCTGGTCCTTTTCACCTGCCCAGATATTGTCGTGGCTGTTGAATCTAGATCCGCTGGGGACTTGAAAGCCGTGGTTTAGGTGCGTCGGTCATGGCGGGAGGAGGGGGGGTTGACCATACTTCACCATGCTGGTCAGTGTGGGTTGAAGGGAAGACATTTTGTCTCACCTCTCACTGAGTATCTGACTGATACAGGTGCCCATATCCAGTAGAGCTACTCAGGTCTGAAAGGTGCTCAAAGCATCTTTGCACCAAGCAGTGGTTCAATGAAGTAGTTTCCAGTGTTATCCCCCTCACCTTCAGTAAAACCTTGGATTGCGAGTAACTTGGTCTGCGAGTGTTTTGCAAGACGAGCACATTTTTTTCATATTAATTTGATAAACGAGCAAGGTCTTGCAACACGAGTAGTACGTATACGCTTTGTCTGCTGAGCGTCACGTGATCACAACTGATATACGAGTGCTTTGATATACGAGTGCTTTGGATTACAAACACGTTTCTGGAACGAATTATGCTCGCAATCCAAGGTTTTACTGTATATGGGTTTCTTTGGGCATATCAATTCCCTCCAAAATGCAAAATGCTCCTCAGAAAGGAACTGACATTATGTCAAAACAAGACCCTCTTCAAAAAAAGGTTCTTAAAAAGTGTCTAAAAAAGTGTCTTAAAAAAGCAGCGAGGATTTCCTCAATAACAAAATAATATTTAATGCTATGTTTCAATAAATTTAGCACAGCATAGGAAAACTCACTTGTGACCATCGTTGTGTTGTGGGACACTTTTTCAGGGGTTAAGCAAGCCCAAAAGTGACACAAGTCCTGGATATTAGTGATGCAAAGGGACACCACAGATCCTTCTTGGGGCAGCTGCACATTGAAGGGTTTGCAGTAAACCTTCACTGTACCTTCCATCAGCGCATCTGCAGTTCAGGACGTGCAATGCAAATGACAGCAGTGCTGTTACACTCTTGTACAAATGGCAAAGAACCCTCTGTGGTCAGACTGTGGATGGTTGCTGTTAGCAAGAGCCTGTTAAGTGCAGCACAATACATCAAGGGGATAGTGTGGCCCAGGACACGTGCCTTTGTGCCTCTGTCTCCCAAGGGCCGGCGTTTACACATTGCACCAGGTACTCATTTAAGGCCGAGTAAACCTAGGTAAGGCCCAGAACCAGTTCAGATATTCGCCACTGACGTTAGCCGTGGTTTATGAGGGCAGTGCGCGAACCACTTCTCCACCGCTCCCTCAACTCTTACACATTCACTATTTTAACTACAATTCCAATTCGAAAAACATCCTTCACTTTCATCTCAAATGATCTTACAACCAAACGCTTTGTGCATTTTCACTGTAAATAAAGCTTGTCCAAAACACACACAAAGGTGGAAACTCTCTTAACTGCACCACCTTAGACAACTGTTCTGGTTTGATAAAATGTGAGGAAAACCTCAATATTTGAATCACTACATTACTTCCTTAAATCATCCCTTTAGATATGAAGAAACATGTTGCGCTTTTAACATTTAGACATTACGCACGATTCAAAACAACTGCCATAAATATGCAAACTACGGAATACGGAAGACAGAAAGCGCAAAAAGGAAAAACTAAATTCTAAATACACAAAAGTGAACGGTTTCCCCGACGACCTAAACCAAATTCTAATGCCCACAATGTGTCCCTGGTGTGCCGCTCACCGCGTGCCATCGGCGAGCAATGCAAGAAGCGGCAGGCAACCCCAAACGGGCACACCCCACGCTGCCACATTCGACAGAGTTCGCGGCTGGAGGAGGCTGCGTGGCTCGTCATCGCCACACCAGGGTCATCTGGCGACACGGCATAGCTGTTCCTTTTCGAGAGGAAATCCTGGGCGCGTGGATCCCAAATGTCCAGTGCGCGGCAGTCGTCCGCGTCTCCCGCGTGCTCGTCGCCCGCTTGCACCGCTCCTTCCGTATTGAAGTGGGAGACCAAGGCCCTCTCCGATTCTAAACAAACGGCAGAGTGGTGCAATTGCATAACTTTGTTGGCCCACCACCACTTTTTGGTGCGAATCATTATACTCATCAATACCTTCTATTTTGTTCCTCAATAACGTATTTCATTAACTAATATAAATTTCGGATATTGAAAGGAATATCACGAACCTGTGACTGTTTTTGACAAACCCTCCATGCTCCTCTCTGCACCTGTGCCAATATAGAACAAGGATGAAAATTTTAACGTGAAAAATGAATTCACCCGAGTCAGGTAACCGTTTAAGAAACAACAGTGCAAGTTTCAAAACCACTCATCTTTGCAAGGAGCCAAACGGATGAAAATGTTGTGTGTAGATGTTGGATGTATGGTGAGTTTATTGCACAGGACATTCCATCCTCTATAACAGTATCAAATGTCCTCAGGCTCACGTGTGATCGGGTAGTCTTATTGGAGGACGTTTGCCATCTCATTATATGGTCTATTTTCTGAATCTACATATTTTTAAGTGGCTCAAAAATGAATGGAAGCAACGTAAAATTGGTGCAAAAAATAATACTTTTTAGATAGCCTTTGTACATACATATTTGTATGCAATTTTAAGTTCAATGTCCAGTAAATAGACTTGCATCCCTTACCAGAGTGTGAAGTGTGAGGTGAGACACTTCTCCTATGCTTCATTACCGTGCCACTTTTGTCAGGCACCTTTTGGATTCCTTCGGTTGGCTTTTTATCCAATGTTGCACCCTTGCTCCTCACTTCTCCAAGATTTCGGTGACTGTTGCACGTGTTATATTTTGACAAACCTCTTGAAAAGCTTGTGTTTGACCAGGTTTCTAAGGAGTTGCTTGAGTTCCCCGTGGTTGGTGGTACAATGTATGTAGCATACCCTGAGAAAACCATCAACTCATTCACATTGATGAATTTGGTTTCTGACCTTTCCAGCAGCACAACGTCAAGTCCTGTTGAAGCACTTGTGCACGAGAACAATAACAAAGATTAGCCACATGTAATGCCACACACATCGATCAATATTTGTCCGAGCCTAGCTTCCAAGGGATACGTTGTGTCAATGCATTAGCAAATGATTCAAGTAAAAACTATATTTGACAATGAGTGAATATTGTGCTTTACTAAAACCATGTGAAAACATGCAAATTAATACTGAAAAACAAACAGGTCACAAGTCAAGGTAGTGCATAGACAAACATTAACGTGTAGACAATTGCCAAGCCTGAGATTGTCGAGTTCAGCAGAGAAGACAGACAGTAACACCTGGCTTAAACAGAGCTCAACACATGCTCAACACAATGCGTATAATTTTATATATTTAGTGTAAAATTCCAAGTTACACAGCATATCCACGTACCACCGTACAACATCCGGGGTCCTTAACTTAACAATCAGCACGACTGGACAATTAAGAGCGGCTCGTGCGGAAATACTTCATGTGGGGCAATTCATGTGAAAGAATTTAATGTTACATGGCATAGTTAATATCTGAAAATTTTTAGTGTAAACATCACAGGGTAATTGTGTGCCTATGATAAGCATTGTTAATGAAAAGGGTAAACTTGCTGTACTCACTTTCTGTTGCAGATTTTTCCCATGAAGCTTTTTTTGTTGCTCGTAAGTTGGGCAAAGTGGTAGAGAGCTTCTTGGGACCACTTCCTGCCACTGCTATAGAACGAGTGACGGTGAAACATTGCTTATGTGGACCTTTTGTGTTGCTTCCAACACTAATAAGTTGGTAAACGTAAAAAAAAGCGTGCACAGCATAACACTAAATATCCATTCCTACGTGTTAAACTGACTAAATATCCACAATCATATAAATTAGAATATTATAAGCAGACACATAAATTTCCATTGTATAACCATATTAACATTACTCTTTGGTTCTTTCGGTAAAGTCACGTAGAAAGAATTCACATTACATTGGATCATATCCATCGGAATAACCCACTCTATTGCAGAAAATAAACGCGCGTTATGTTTCACTAAAGAAATTAAACGGCAGGCTGAGCATGAACATGTTAGAAGTCAAATGTTAAATTAGCAAACAACACGAAACGCCAAATAACTCCCGTCTCACAGGTACGTACGCTAGGCTGTGTCCTGGGCTCTCCAACATAAGCTCGAGCGTCACTGTGATATCCCTTGCAGAGTTTAATGCACCAAATAATAGTAACATCATTGCAGAGTACTATGGCAGAGACATTTTATGGCCATTTAAAGTGTATTTTCTCATCGCTGAAGCTTAAAACTCCGAGTGTCCCCACAACCAGGAGACAGCCTTGTATCTGCAAGCGCCATTTGTATTTTGGGCTGAATATTGTATTTATTTTATATCCATGTGCACAATTTAGTTTTATGGTAAGTACTCATGTATGCAGGTCATTTAGCACACTTGTAAAGCCACTGTGATGTAAATAATAGCACACAGGACTTGCTGTTCCCACAGACTTCATACATGAAGCCAGCAAGCACGACGAAGGGAAACCCCTTGACTTGCACAAACATCTGTACTTAACCAACCACAATCATCATCACATTATTGAAGTATATAAACACTAAAAGAGCAGTTGAATAAAAAAATAACAGGCTAATAAAACTGTCACCAAGAGTAAAGCCGGTACACAAATTGCTGGCTGATGATCGAGGACTGAATGTAAATACACAAGTGCTTCGTGCGGTCAAAGGGACTGTAACACGGATGCGAGACTTGGCACAGTGGAAATGGACACCATCTGAAGGACAAAAGCACTTGAGAATTGTGGTTTTAGGAGGGCGTTGAGGCTCACAGGGGTGCCCGACTGCTGTGCAGCCTCCTCGGGAATAACCAAAGGCAGAACGGCAAGGAGGAAGCCAAAGGTGGCAGTGGAGGTGAGAAGCATCGCAAAAGCTCGTGTCGAGAGTAAGTGCTGGCCATACGTTGACCTCCGAACCCGCAGTTGACAACGATGAGTGAAGACAGAGACGGAAAACGACTACGATGGAGAACCGGATGTCATAGTTGACACAAAGTGTAAATGAAACCAGACAAAATACCAAATTTGGTGCTACATATGAATCTTGATGGAACATGCAAAGTAATAAGTCAGAGAAGCAGATCAAAGGCATAGTAAGGACAGATCTGAAAGAATAAAGTCTGGAGGAATCCTCTAAAGTAGCAAGACTGATTAAAGGCAGGAAAAAGTAGTGAGGCATTCGTTACTGTGAAGCAGATGAAGACAGGAAAGTGTGAGTGATCTTAGAGTGCAAGTTATCTTTTTAATCCCTCGGTTAAGGCTGAAAAACAACAGTTCTTACATGCAATTAACTTATTATTCCATATATATTTACTGAAGCTGCTTGAGAACAAATCATTTATTAAAATTATTAACAAATTCCTGTCCATAAAATAAAGCCTTATTTACAATAGGCATCACTTACTCATTTTGTTCTGTGGGTTGGATGTTGAACATCGAGCATCTCTGAGCAAAAGCTGGATATTTCTCAAATTTCGGAAGAAGTATTTTCACTTCAAACCTGTAGAGATGCAATGGATTCATCTCAGAAAAGCATCAACACAAAAGCATACCAAAGCACAATAGTGCAACACACCCTACATATAACACCATTTCTTTCAATTTGGCGACAGATATATTTTAGTAAAAAGGTGTATTAAATTTGTTTTAACATTCAAAGCAATTTTAATAGTTTAGAAAATAACCGTACAAGTGAATTTGTAAACCATTATCTATTTAAATGTATTTAAAGACTGCTGTCCTCACTCCGGTAATGTTTAAGTAGCTTAGAAGTGCGCAAACCAAAGGACGTTACCGTGAGAACCAATCCGCTTGACCGACATCCACCAGTAGCACCTGCACCTGCTCTGGGGAGTACTCATTCTGCAGGTTGATCATGGTGACCAGGCCTCGGAACCAGCACTGCCCTGGGGAAATGCACACGCAGCAACTTTTCCCAATAAGATCCTCCGTCGCACCACCTGAAGGGACAATCCCAAACACGAGGCAACGTTAATCCACACATGGCTCAGCATAGGCACAAGCTAAAACGCATTGTCGTAAGATAATCTCAACTCACCCAATTCCAGGTTTTCTGTTGAAGTGCTGTAGGTTTGCTGAAGATCTTTAAACATCTGCTCCATACCAGAAGCCCAGCCATTTTTTATGTGCACGTAAAATTCTCTTGGCGAGACTGAAAAAGGTGTTAAATAGTTTGAGGTATTCATACGTTTTTTTTTTTTAAGGAAAAATCATAAATGCACTTTCATAAAGCAGAGTGAATTAAACGAAGGTTAAACATTACTTTTGTATGGAACGATGACAAATTAACCTTACATTTGGATATTAAAATACTAAAATACAGTGCAGGCGTCCCTCGCTTAACACCCCCCCCCCTCCCCAATAGCACGCATTTGCAATTACACGAGATTCATCTTTTAGGGACATACTTCACACTTACGCTATGCGTTTCACAGTTAAACGCTCAATAAAAAATATAGTAATGATACATTTTTGTCAATAAGAAAAGAGAAAAATATATATTTGTGGTGGCGCCCTGTGTCACGGGCTGGGCATATGGACACGAGGCAGTCAGTGGCACCTGAGCCCTTGCCGTACAAGCATCATGGGCACAAAGACCACACAACCTCCACACGTGTAGCCTGAACAGACTGGGGGCGAGCGCGATTAGCGAGCAGCTATGAAAGCCGGCACGGCACACGAGGGGCTGGTGGCCAGCATCCCGCGCGGCCACCTTTGTTTCTCCAGTGGCGATGTTTACACATCGCACCAGTTACTCATTAGAGGCTGAGTCGACCCAAGGGAGGCCCAGGACCGATTCAGATAATCGTCAGTGGTGTTGGGCGTGAGCGGGAATCGAACTCGGGTTGCTGGGTTCGTAACGCAACACGCTGCACTATCGCTCCCTACTTGCGGGCAAATGCACACACACCCCCGCTTTTGATCATCAACGGGAAGTTTAACATTTATACTACTGGTTGTCTATACATTTTTCTGAATAGGGTTTTTACATGTTAACTTAAATTTTTATTTTGTTGATTTTGCATACAGTACTTATTTTAATTGTGATGTCTATTTTTGGTTGCCGTGTACCTAACCCCGTTATATATAGCTAAGGTCGTAAGCTTATTGCAGTTTTGGCTTTTGCTGTACTTTTCAAGAACGTAATCCCCACGATATTCAAGGGTCTCCTGTATATGTACATTTTGGAGGAAACCTGAATACTCAAGACACCTATACAAGTTGCTAACACTCAAAACCACATACAGATAAGATGGTAACTGAAAAACACAATTTCAAAGCTTCGTGTTGTTATAAATGGAAGCTATCAGGTGCAAATAAAGGAAATATAGGCCTAATCAAGCAGTTACAATTCACAACTGTATACAGCCATGTGACCCAGACCGAATGACCGGAGTTCACGCAAACTCCGATCATCCTCGCAGCAGCTTCTGACTAGCCATTGAACAATTACGATCACTACATCGCTCGCTTTCAGATGCACTTCTGCGGCCATCTGGAACGCTCTTCCTTCCGATGTTAGGAAGCCGTTGGAGCTATGCACTTTTAAATCGACATGGAAAAATAATTTATTTCAAACTGCTTTTTGTGTTTCATGTTGTCCTTCCCCCCCACCCTCGGTTAGCACGGTTGGCTACGTACACAGTGCGAAAGAAGTTCAACATATGTAGAGGCGTAGCAGTGAAACAAGCTTATCCACATGCATTGCTAAACAACATGCAACCACTGGAACATGCCTCTCACAAATGAATCTTTGCAGAGTATGTATGTCTCATATTCGTTCTGATCACTTGACCATTTACACCCGGTGCAGTACTTATGCATGGAGCAACTGTAATTTTCTACAGATGTTCACAAATGCGACTTTTCCCACGTAATATATACGTTTAATCTCGTGTACATTCGCTTGCTTCTAAAGTACAGTAAAAGCAGTTTCCATGTTTAAAGCGGACCATGCTTTAATATTTGTCTCTTTGACCTTTTCACACATCTTGCCTTCAACCCAAGTATCCCCTGCGAATTAGACACGCGAAATTGCACCCTGGTATTAACTCACCTACACAGATTAAGGCGCACAAGAAGTATTCCTGTGAGGGAGAAACAAGCTCCACTTCTGGATACACAGAAGTGTCACGACCTGCACGTGCCGCCGCAGACGGCTCTGTTAATAGACAATTACTTACAACGTGTTTTTACACACAGGGAAATAACGACATTGTAATTCACCTCTTCCCCAATGATTCATTGAACATTTCATGGTCACGATTTTACGGGGTTTTTTTAGTATTTACAGTCTAGACTGTATTGGTTTTCTTTTTTTGTTTCATTTGTAGTTTTATTTGCTTTCTTAACTTAAAAACATCATAAGTCTATTACATTTGCATAAAATTAAGTGTGCTTCGAAAAAATAAATTTCAATTAAAACATGCAATATAATACTGACAAAGTGAAACATATTGGGCCGTTTTCACTAAAAACTGTAATACTAACACCATACAAAAATGCTCTCTCACGTAAGAGAACACAACCTTCATTAACTTGCCAGTAGCCCCGAGGGAAGAGACTGGCCAGGAAGCCTACAGGCCTGCACCATCCCCTTGGAAAATGCAAGGAATGGGCAGGTCTCAAGGAGGGTATGACGCAGGCCCCATCTCTCTTCTTGTTACAGCCGGCAAGTTAAATCCATATATATAAAAGGGAAATTTGTGAATGTGTGTCTGTTCGAAATGTTTAGCATACTTCCCAACATGCAACAAACTTGAAATTTGGCATGTGGGTAGCTTCCAGACTGTACACAATGCAAAAAGTATAAAAATAAACTTTTCGTATTTTGGGGGGGTCGCTATAATGGATATATTTAGCACGGCAAGTGAGCGGTGACGTCACATCTGTGATGTCACCCGCATGCGGCAGCGTTACGCAGTGTGCCTGCTGACGTCACGCATCCCTCCCCCGACCCTCCGCATAGGCCGTGTATTAATCCAAGACAAGAATCCAGTCTCGGGCGAAGCCGGGTAGAGTAAAGCTAGTAGTAAATAAAGTTGTGTTCTCTTAACATGGTATTTATGTTCTTTGGGTCTTTCGGTACAGCCACGTAGATAGAAAAAATAATAAAAAATATCACGTTTCAATCGCAACACAAGCAATCGTCTTTTTTTCCCCACCTGATGACGATTGCTTGTGTTGCGATTGAAACTTCGTGATAATTTTATCTATTTTTTTTTATATCTACGTGGCTTTACCAAAAAACCCAAGGAATTTAAATTCCTGCAGTCACGAAAGCTTTAAGTCAAGAATGGTATTTATGGGTGGGAGACACCATTGAGTAAACCACTGTAGTATGATGCACTCCTTCAACAGAGTAGCACAACTACACGAACTCTCTCCTGAAGCCCTCGTGTGGCTAGCTCACCCCGACATTGGTATTTAGCTCTTGAATATATTGCCTCGGCAGGAATGGAACATGTATTGATACCGTCTGTCGACTGCAAATAACAATTTGTATGGCGACATATATTCGTGCAGTGTAACTAAGTCGGGTGAAAGGCCCCATAAATTGTATTTTATCTTAAGTAGAAATTAATTTCTTAGTCAATCTATCATTGACCTTTAAACATCTTTATCATAAGCGTAAGCAAGTGTTCATATTAGATGCAATACCTTTGCCTCCAGTGTACTGTTTAAGAAACTGATCAAGTTCTACTGCAACTTTATCATCGATATCTTCTGAAAGCCTGGTGGTGTCCTCGGAATCCATTCTTTTGGGATTGCTCAGTGACCTCGGAGAGGTGTCCGTTGCAGACTCCGCTTGATGTTGACCACCTTGACAAATACCGTCGATGCTACTTTTATGTATATCCATAGTGACCACTCTTCCTGAACTCTGCTGTTGGACTTGCATACAACTTTCTGACGATTGCAACCCAAATTCTTTGGCCGTAGACTTGCGATCTTGAGCTAGCTCGTGCTCATCAGCAACACCTCTTTCCAAGTGGCTGTCACGAGGACTGCATGGATCTTTGAAACTGAATTCAGAATCCAAGCCAACCGGGGCAGGCCTTGTGCTTTCCACGCATTTGAAATTGCCATTGAAAGCAGGAAAATTGTAACAATTTGCAACATCTGCGTTATCCTGCGACGCTTGCCTCTCTGCATTAAAATGATGACCTCTTTTGATATTAGGTACTTCAGAAGAACCGCCAGGCTTGTTCCCTGTCAGCGGATCGCTGTCCTCCAAGTTGTGTGATTTTCTCACTGCTTTAGTGGCATCTGGGTCACTGACAGGCATGTAATGGTTGTTCCTGTCCTCGTCTTTCAATGCCATCAATAAATGCTTAGCTTTTATCTCCACTTCTAAGTCATTTTGGCAAGGGATCCCTGCAGGCACTTGCCCTTCATCCTTGAAAAAAAAACCATGAACATTGTTAGTTACGAAAGAGTGCATTATTCAACTCTATTTCATGAAGGAAATACATTAGAATAAATATGCTAACGATTCGCAGGCACAAAGCTAGAGGTAAAAAAACGCCCTATGTAATGCATGTGATAATGCGGTGTGTAGTGGGGTATCACCTTTTCAGAGAAGATGGTACGGCGGCATTTTTCCTTCATGAAACTATTTCTGCTGCTTTGCTGCAAGTGATTCAGATACTTAATAAAAGTATGGCTGACTTTCGTCCTCGTTGGATGACACTGAGGGAGACCTGTGAGCAATTTGTGATTAAAGTTCGCAATCAAGTTCGTTACACTTCAGGATGTTATTGCTTACACTTTGATAGACAGCCCCACTATCTGCTTGGCAATATACACTTTTCGAAACGGAACTAAATCACCAATAAACGGCCGATCTAAAATGTTGAGAAGGTATAGACATGAAAATGATTTAAGGTACTCCCCAAAATAATGTATATTTTAATATTCTACATGGCTCCATAGTAGATAAAAAAAAGATTCTTCAAGATGTATATATACTGCGAGTCCTCGCTTAATGCGTATTCACACAACGCGTGTTCGCCATTATGCGGTTCTATCAACAGGGAACACGTTCCGCACAACGCGGAACGGACCTGTTACAACACGGAACGGACCTGTTACAACGCGGAACGGACCTGTTACAACACGGAACGGACCTCTAACAACACGGAACGGACCTGTTACAATACAGAACGGACCTCTTACAACACGGAACGGACCTATTACAACACGGAACGGACCTATTACAACACGGAACGGACCTGTTACAACACGGAACGGACCTGTTACAACACGGAACGGACCTGTTACAACGCGGAACGGACCTGTTACAACGCGGAACGGACCTGTTACAACGCGGAACGGACCTGTTACAACGCAGAACGGACCTGTTACAATGCGGAAGGGACTTGTTACAACGCGGAACGGACCTGTTACAACACGGAACGCGCACCGTTATACCGCAGTTTCCGAGCGGTTGATGACCAACTAATTTCTTGAGCTGTGCACCTGCGCGGTATAAGAGTATGGGGAATGCTACAGTAAGGCGGCGGCATACCCCAAGTGTATGACTCTAATATGCTGAGCAACTGAAGTGCACGCCCTCAGCTGTTCCACCTCACGCTTGCATTAGAGCTCCCTCTATCGGATCCTTTAGAAAATAGCAATACCAACTGCCAAACATACATTTACAGAAACAATAATCGATTTATTTCTTGGTTCATTATGTATAAAACATCGACGGACATCACAGTGGCATAAATGCCGATACCGATGTTTTTTTTTTTTTTTTTTAAAAGCCGAATATCGGCCGATAAATCAGTTAAACCGTTGCATCAGTTGGGCTATTAAGATATTACTTCTAAACGCATTCACTACAGCCAATATATATATTCATGAAAATGACTAACGAAAAACCAAAAAGCATTATATAACATGCGGTAGTGTGTATTTTACTACAAGCCAAAATCACAAATGTAGGGTGCACCACCTGATGATCCATGCAGGCCGTTTCTGCTTGCCATTCCATCGCAAAGCATCACGTCAGATATGCTCGTTCCATGCCTGCAACATTAACAAGCACACGTTTTAGATTTGAAGCTTTCGTGACTGCAGGGATTCATATCCTTGGTTCTTTCGGTAAAGTCACCACGTAGAAGGGACACAATAAAAAGAACCAAGAATGAGCACACATTTATTTCCATGACACCTTGCTTACAACACAAGGCAATATACAATCAATAACGACTTGCGCAATATGCCACGAGATCATTTTCAGATGACACCAGTAAATGCCCAACGCTGACTATACACCAACTCACTTGTACTTCCCGTTCACCTTGGGCGCATTATAGAGTTCGACAGAGGTACGTCCTTCGCTGAGATGGAGGAGAGCATGAAAGGTCTTATTTTTCACTTGCTCGGCAAACCAGGTTATCTGTGACTTTGTCCACATCACCTCTTCGACTGGAGACACCTGTAGAGAAAACGCAGAAGCCACTTTAATATACTCGAATCGTAAAGAAATGCATTACCTCGGTTGGTATAAATTAGGCTACTGAAAAGAACAAGCTTTTGAAAGTTACTACGAATCCCATTGGCAGCACGCTCAACAACTTTCAGCTAACATTATACAAAGAAACGTGCAGTCCTTTGGCAATATCAATAGATCTGGAAAAATCTAAAACCATCCTACAAGGCACATGGTCAGGGGACTAGACAAATAGGACATCCAAGAGAGACACATGCCCCTTTACCACTCGCAGAGGTTCGCAATTCAATGATTAATACTGTGGCCGTTAAAGATCCCTCGACATTACTAGAAAAGTAAATTATTGTCGGTGTCATGGTCCAACATTTGAAAAATGAATTGCAAATTACGTAATTGCATAGAAATTACTTTCCCCGACCGAGACAAAATAGCAAGACCATCTTGAAAATAGCCGTGCAACTTAAATTAGGCTTTCCTGGGTAAAGAAGTGTAATAATAACATACGTAGGCTAGAGACACACGGATGGATTGCTGTGGCAGCTGGCAGAACTCGGACTTGAGGTGGCGAATCCTCGACACTGGCAAACGATCACGATTCCCGTAGTCGACAAACAGCACATGCACCATCAGCTGCTCCAAATTCAGCGGGTGTATATCTTGCGTGGAAAGAGACAAAAATCAAATGTTTATTCTTCATTATGGTTTCTCAATTACAATGCCATGCTTGATTTACAAAGCACGTTTACTATTAATGCTTAAGATCCTGGAAAGTTACGTTTTTTTTCCTTTCTTGATTTCACACAAGCCCTTTCTAAACCAAGTACTATACTTAAAAAGCTGCGACAGCAAAAGGGAGTACAGCCAAACGCAGTTGTACTGTTTCTATGCTCCTCACATTTACCATCCCACTGACCAGCGTGAAGTGTGCCCTGTTAACTCCCATGACCCAGACAGCACGGAGACACCAATGGGCTGCACATTTACCTTCAGTACACCTCGCACCTCCGATCAGCACGGTTGGCTACGTAGTCTGAACTAAGTTAAACATACAAACACAAATTACTACGGCACTTAATGTATTTATTTTTTGTGACTTGCTTATCTTTCCTATATTTTGCGCTATCGGTTTTCGTAGTTTTCTCTTGCAACTTTCTGACCCGCCCCTACTGGACATGTGAAAAAGAGCTTCAGAGCTCATTGGATTCCTCCAGGAAAAAAAGATTCTGATTCTTAAGGACTGAACTGACATACTGCTTGGTGAAAATGACTCATCATTATTAAACATTAATCATATTTCTCCTGCGTCAGCAGTTCGCCTGCTGTATTTTTTCACCTTGTGTTGCGATCGAAACGTCGCGATTTTGTATTTTTCTATCTACGTGACTTTACCGAAAGACCAAAAGAGCAAGAGTATTAATCGTAACTTTAGGTTAGCCACATTCACATCCAATAAAAAAAACACTTTAATGAACCGTGAATCACACTTCCAACATTTCACAAACATCAAAAGATGTTTCCCCTCGAAAATAGTTCTCTGCTCAAGCGAAGTGCAGTGCTGGTGGTGTTGGCTAGTGGCCTTGGCCACCGGTGCAAATTCTACTTGTAGTGGAGACCCATTTCGCATGAGAACCACCTTGCCAGACTGAAAATAAAATCACGAAATTTTACCCATCCCCAAAGGATGACACTCGTCGCCTTACCCAACACAGAGACGTTGTGCATGTCAGTCACGTTCATGATGCGAGCCCTGTACCAATAGTCATCTTCGGAGTATTTTGCCAAAACGTACAACCCAACACATGGGTAGATGCCCCCTCCAAGGTGTTCATTCTGCTGGATTTCCCAACTAACAAATAAAACACACACATTTACATCAATATCTTCACGACCTTGTAAATCCTATAATAGTAAATAATTCCGCAATATATTTGCGCTTTTACAACATGCTTTATAGGTTACAGAAAATACAACAGGAAACACTAAAAACTTGAGCACTATAAAATTGTTACTAAATATCCATTAGAGAGGGACTGTACATTTTTCCATCCGCTCATGCATCTACTAACCAGTTATATGATTGGCTGTGCGATTGTCTGCTTGCATGTATATATGCATGTGTTTATGTGTATCCGTGTTTGTCCACGAGGAATTCAAGGTAAGTTGCACAATGGACTCGCCCTATCAGAGCGGACAAGCGGTATGATTATCCTTGTGGAGTATGTGAACTGAAATGAGTCGTGTATTAGCGAAGTACTACATCTAAACCACTGTCGTTAGATTATATATTTCACAAATACATCTCGCAAAATGTTTGAAATGGTATAGGTTAAATACAAATCCCATCATTATTTACTTCATCACTGAGAATATTTGCACAGTATAAAACAAGATCTGGAATTGTTATATTATAAAGTGTATATATTTTTGGAAGAATGTTTACAAATGTGTAACCTGCCAACAGAAACAGGGGTAAAAGTGGTCTCTGTAGTAATAAACTAGGCTTTTAGAACAGTGAGACTGCTTTCAAAGTAGGCTCACTCATGCTTCACCCACAATTAAACTAAGTTGCAAATCATCACTATATAAATGTCTTGTGTTCTGCATTGCTATGAGGGAAAAATACTAATATGGTACGAGATTTGTCTCAATGAAACGGATTTACAGGGGGTGAAACAACAAACATAATTTAACTCGCGATACATGCATCGCATTGGACGTTTAATAATTAATAAATTTATACTTTTTTTCCCCCTAGGTCACATATAATGGGTTAATGTGACCGCTGCAGCTACAATAGGTGCTACGCCATTCAGTTGTTGGGTAGAAATGCTGAAAATTGCACGCACTTGAAGGCTTCCATCATCTGGTGGAGTTGGGATGCACAGGGCTGGATGTAGAAGAAGGACGGGTTCACGAGGTAGCACACCGTGACCTCCATCTCGAACCCATCCTTTAGGAAAAGAGGTTGGATTTCTGCTCTGTGTTGAGTGTTGGAAAGCAATGACCTTTCTTCCCAGAGAACACCTGGCCTGTCCAGATGCAATTTCTCCATGCTGGCCGCAGCATTGTCAAAACATTCGCTCGTGACACTGCTGTCAATGTTGCTTTCGATGCTTTGATGCTTTACAATTTCACTTGTGTACCGATCACTGCTGTCGTGTTGAACTGCATTTCGTTTGCAGGACTCCAATCCTGAAATACTCTGAAATTCCATAGAGCCATTCTCATCATTGAACACCATTTCCCTTGAGGATGAGCCTGTCGCAAAGCCTCTTTCACCATAATTTGCATCACTGTTTTCAACATAACTTTGAGGACAAATATCATATTTGTCTTTTGATGAAATTGTCTTGCAAATTACTACATTATCATCCCAGGTCTCGCAATAATCAGAAACTGTACACTCTATGCTATCTGAAGACAAATTGCTCTCGATCAAAACATTTGAATGTTCATTGCACTGATTTGCAGTCTTAAGGAATGCTTTATGTTTCTTTTTCACAGGGTTGGATGCACCACTTCCTTCTGCAGATATAAAATTCAGTAAAAACACAAATCATGTAGACGAGTCACGAGCACCACACGTCGACTGCACACACCCCACAAATGATGTGCATACACACACTAAATACAAACAGCTCCAACACAAAATGAAAAACTATTTATATAAGCATATCATGTTCATAATTTGCAAGAGCCTCATTACTCTTAGTGCCAATGTGCGCGTGGACAAGTTTTAGGCTAAACGGGATAGGACTCTTAGTTAACTTTGGTAATGGCATGCATAGATGCATTTGGGGCGTGAATTGCGTCAAGTTCTTACCCGTTTGTCCATCAAGCCACTTCAAAATCTGCTTGAATATTTCAGAGCTTCTCTGCAAATTCTGAATTATCGCAGGATACTGTTGCCTGAAGCGGAAAAGTTCCTTCATTGGCAGAGAAACTTCGTCCATCACCTTCAAGATCCAGCCAAAAAGATAGTTACATAAAACAAACACATTGTACTGAAAAACATTCACCTCTAATGACCACAAGCAAAAATGTTTTCTTGGCACAAGAGCCATGGTTCTCAACTTTCCAGAATAATTCTACACGGTCAAGGTTCAAAGGTGAAAATACATCCTCATCACTTGATAAGTGTGCTGCGTCAACGTCATCAAATTATGGCACTGGTTAATTTGTTTTGGCATAGATGAAGTGAGATAATTCACAAAAAAATATTTTGGCTCTGGGCTTTCCACAGTTGAGGGTGGTTTGGACTCAATATGAAGAAACTACATTTTCCTTCCTAGCAGTTCTAACATTAATTTTATGTACCACACCATGAGCAATATTCATAATTACCATATCTACACTGTGGCACACCTAGCTCATGCACAGGAGCTGATTTCATTGGTTGACATCACCAAGGGCATGTTACATCCTTTTAATGCCACTACTGTTATTTGTTTTAACCACCGGTCATCATTCCTTTTAGCAACAGGTCCTGCCCAAGCCTCTAACTTGCATTTGCTCTCTGGTCCACATTCTTTCTGACTCTCAGGGAAATTCCAAATGGAGGAATGAAGCGGTTCATGATTCTCTACGTACTTTTGTCACTTTTGTGTGCTAATTTTCATGCTTAGGATCCATCCTATACACATGGCCATTCCGTGCAAGACACATTTCACATGTTCACGGTGATTGTCAGAGCCATGCTGCGGTAACAAAACACACACTAATACACGTCAAATAAGCCTTACTAACCTCGCATTGACTATAGATGTGGACATGTAACGTCTCCCTGTCACGTGGCCTGAGTAACCCAAGTTGTTTTGGCGGCTGGGAGGATGGCACAGGGACCGGTGAGCTTAATTGGAGGCTGAGAACCACTGCACTCCTACATACCCTCTCGACTCCAGGTTTCTTCATCGCTGGTTTACCTTCCTTTCAACTCAATAATCATGTCTCTCAGCTGGCCACTCGAAGAACCTTCAAGGGTCAAATATGTCCCCCGTACTCTGCCAGCTTAAGAACCCCGATATACATCGTCGCGTATAACGTAGGCCGTCACGTTCAGTATTGCAGCAAATTTAACTGCGAAATTTTACACCAGTATTACAACACGCTAAGAGCTCATGTAATGGAGATGTTTACTAGGCGGTCAAGTTACTGGAAAAAAAAAATCCGCCACGTATATGTAAACACTCACAGGCTGCAGGATATTGCAGAGTCTTGCAACAATTGCCCGTTGCAACTCCTCCGCCTGCTCCAGGTTTGAGAGGACGTGTTGTACCATGCCTTCTAGATCACTTTCACGGCACAAAGCTAAACAAACACGACGCGTACATCATTCCAGGCCAAGGCGGTGAGTGCAAGAAAGCCAAAACACAAAAACATGAATTCACATCAATAATGATAGCATTAATAATACCAAATACACAATCGACTCGTATTTAGTGGTAGTATAATAATAACATGCCTTTTAACAAAATCACATAATGGTAGGGGGCCCTCATCAACGATTTAAAAAAATAAAAAAATCGGCTGTACATGTTCATAGTCCTGTACAGTAAACCATATTGACAATTAATCGAAGCTGTAATTATTACACGAAATCAGATCAGTTCCGCACACGTAGATTTTAATTGTGCCCAGTTGGGCACTGGTATTGTCGATTATTTTTGTACTTTTTCCTGAAGCATACCTTACTAAACGAGTAGTTTAATGTGATTACACACTCGGGATGGTCTCGAAGTGACGATAAATACTGGACATCTGCGAAAAAGAGCTTTATAGCTCATCGGATTCGTCCAGTATAAATACTAGGATTCTGAAATAAGCAAATAAAAAACAGCAAACGGCTCTTGAACAATAAGTACTGTACAGTGTTTATTAAACAACTTCGGGAGCCACAACAAAACGCTACCCCGTCCAGTAGCCGATCAGCACTATTGGCTACGTACGATGCGAAAGAAGTTCCATACATAACCGTATCTTCGCGTGGCTGACGTCGATGGAGAGTAGTCCAGATGTCTTATGACCCCCCCCCCCCCCAATTAATTGACCCCTATTCGTTTTCCTTTGCGCATTCATTTAGGGTGTTTTTTTAATATATACATTACTTTAAAACAATATTAGATAATTAAATTGTGTGTGGTGGGGGGGGGTGGTCATAAGACATCTGGACCACCCTGTAGATTGTAGAACTGTGACCTTCATCTCTCTATTGTGGAACGTGCGCGTTCTACAGGCGTCCAAGCGAACGCGACCAATGCAGGAACACATGCGTGTTGTACGAATGTATGGAGGTTCGTGAAGGACGCTACTGGTCGGTCGCCCTCCAACAACAACGGAGGAGGAGGAGGGCAGAGAGGAGCGACGCCCTCACAACAACAAGCGGATGGGCCGGGCGGATAAAATACAGCAAAAGTTGACGCAGTAAGAGGGGGGGGAGGGGAGAGGGAGTCATCTCAGTCAAGTCAACCCATGGCACCTCCTGGGTCTGTCCCGTGACCTCCTCCAACTGGGTGCCTTCCGACACGGCACGTGACCTCACGTGCACTTGGCCTGGCACAGGAGCCGTGGCGGCGTCACCGTCACTTAAAGTGGAGCATTGCGGGTGTATGTACGTTTTTTGTTTCCTCCCACACAGCTTAAAGGACGCGACCTGGGCTTGGCTGTCTTCACTCCAGCGCTGTCCTCTGGACAGTCCGGTCCCTTCACCTGATGAAGGCCACTTGTGTTGTCGCCGAAACGTCGTGATTTTTGTTATTTTATTTTTACCTACGTGACTTTACCGAATAGAACCAAAGAGTATGTATGTACGTTGCAGTGTTACATTTCGATTTGAAGCTTTCGTGACTGCAGGGATTCATATTCTTGGTTCTTTCGGTAAAGTCACCACGTAGAAGGGAAACAATAAAATAAAAAAATATTGTTTTATATTTTTATTATTATATATATTTTTTATTTTATTGTTTCCCTTCTACGTGGTGACTTTACCGAAAGAACCAAGAATATGAATCCCTGCAGTCACGAACGCTTTAAATCAAAATTCACTGTCTGTTGTTATTGTTGTATCCTCAAATCGTGCAACTCAATTTCAACCCACTTGCCAATGTGGTATCGACTGCAAACTTGGTATACTTATGTCATACTGATGACAATACTAGATTCTATCAAAACAAATATTATTTTTAAACATTATTTTCTCTATGTTATGTTTCGGCTTGGGTCTAATTGTCCACGCTCAACTCACGTTGGCTGTAAATCACCACGGGTCCCCCCTTACGTTGTGGCAAGCCTCGGGGCCACTTCCTGGAGTCGTGGAGCTCTGACATTACCAGCACGGTACATTAAAGCCGGTTTCTTTATAAAAGTTGTTTTAAAAAAAAAAAGATTACTTATTCACCTCCACTTCAGACGCGCCCTTACAACAATGTGGCGAGACTACAATTCGCAGCGGATTTCCAAAACCCCCATGGAGCTCAGCCGCCCGTGCCGTCCCGGGCATCGTCCCGGGACACCCCCGCCTGCCGCGTGGTGCCGGAATTCCGAGAATCAAAGACGAAATTTAAACCAAGTTACACTGCGCGTCCAGAACTGTGCCGACCACGATCTTGCAGATTACGGCGCCAAACACGACAGGGACCAGCGGCATCTCCCCGCGCCCACCCGCCCGCCGTGTGCTGTAGGAGGCCTTGTCTGTGGTCACGCACCTACCTCCACGAAAGTGAGCGAACACCGCGTGGCGTGTTACACGTTGATATTTGTTAAGACGCCGAACTTGTTGTTGTACTAACATTAAATCAACGTTCAAATCCGAGGACACACAACCTGTAAAATGCGGCCTTCCGGAAAAAAAAATATGCCAACGTTGGCATTTGGTTGTAAACTTGGGCTCACGCCTTCAGTGGCTTGCGTCTTCCTTATCAAAAGGGCAGCGTTCACAACGCGGTGGGGCGAGATGTCAACAACCTCGCCGGGGATACAGGAGGTCGTGTGGGTCCAAACCCGACCCTGACGACCAGCCGCATATTGTGGTGTCTCTCTCCCCGTGGTGGCGTGGATTTTGTCTCCTGGTCCTTCGGTTTCCCCCCCCCCCCCCCACCATCAACATTTGGGAGTCAACAAACGAATGTCCACGTGATGTGATGTTAATAAGCCACGACGACGTTTCTATCATTTGCTTTCGCCAGGTCGCTTCTGAAAAAAAAATGTTTTGCTTTATAGCAGCTCGGCGGGCCTTACCTGGGTTAAATAAACGATAGTTATTGCGTGGTATTTTTTAAAATATATAATAATAATATTTTTTAAAAAGTGCGTGGGTGTGCGCTTTACCCGTAGCTGCGTTGCCGCCAGAATCCATCGCCGCCGACACGCCACGTGTGTGCCGGGTCCCGCCGCGCGCATGCGCAAACGCGACAAGCGATCACGTGATGTCCCGCGCGCGGAGTGGGGGAGAGGTCACGTGGCAACACGCGCCGGGGAGGGGGGGGGGGTCACGTGGCAACGTGCGCTGGCGCCCGCTCCTCCGAGCACGCGGTCTTACACGTCGACAAAAAATTAACAAATCGAGGAAGTGGAGGGGAAGGGATTGGAATGGGAATATTTATGTATGACTGGAGGGGGAATCCGGTGAGCTATAAAGCTCTTTTTCACAGACGTCCGGTAGGGGCGGTCAGAACATCCCAACAACAAACGATACAAAAACACAATAGGTGTGCACACTGCACAGTATTGGAAAGGTAAACAAATCGCTTAAAGATAAACAGATACAACTTAAACTAATTTTTTTATCTTACCAGGTAATGCCCACAGGTATTAACTTATTGTTCAGAGGCGACCAAGCCACAAATGAGAACTCAACAAAGTGGCTTCTCGTATAGCAGGAAAATAATCCAAACACTACTTTTTGTTTTTTTCGGTAAAGTCACGTAGGTAAAATATTATAAAAATAAAAATCACGACGTTTCGGAGGCAACACAAGCTTCCGTCTTCAGGTGGAACAGTCACAGCAGAATATCTGTGTCAAGTGCATAGTTCCGAGACGACTTGGATTATATATTGTGATTTTTGCACACAGCGTTTTAATACGTTTTTTTTTGTGTGGAATATTTGCTGGTTGAATTCCAGGATGTTTCTGTTGCGCGTCGTCGCTTTAAGATGTTCTGTGTTCAAATTTGGTTTGTTGCGGTTGCACCCGACTTAAGAGCCGCATGGCTCACAGGGCTATACCTAATAAATGAAACTTGAAATATATAGGTCGGGGGGGGGGGCCAGAAAGGGACGTGGGTGGGTGGGAGGGCTGAGTTAAGCCGCCTTTTGTTAAACTGCACAAAAGCGGGTCAACAACCCTTTTGGTTTCCTGGCGGCGGGGTTTTTCCGGGGGGAGGCGATGCAAGACATCAAGTACAGACCAATTTTTTGAAACCTAAAATGGAAACTAAGGAAATGTCTGTAAAATTATAAGGTAGCTAAAGTTTGACATACAACCACTGAGGAGTGGAAATGGCTGTACAATTAAAAGGCAGCTAACGTTTGACTTGATTTATAACATCTTTCCAGTGTTCATAATAAAGGTTTTTGGGTTAGATCGCGTTATTTATAAAAGTGTCGTAACCCTCCACCACCCGACACGGCCAATCAGCAAAAAAAGTGTCACGTTGACAAAAGACAAATAATTCACTACTTTAGCCCACCGGTGTGTTGAAGAGTGAATCCACAACATTTACAGTTTGAATACTCAAACTGTAAATGTTTGAGTAAATGTTTGAGTACTCAAACTGTAAATGTTGTGGATTCACTCTTCAACACACCGGTGGGCTAAAGTAGTGAATTATTTGTCTTTTGTCAACGTGACACTTTTTTTGAGTACTCAAACTGTAAATGTTGTGGATTCACTCTTCAACACACCGGTGGGCTAAAGTAGTGAATTATTTGTCTTTTGTCAACTTGACACTTTTTTTGCTGATTGGCCATGTCGGGTGGTGGAGGGTTACGACACATTTATAAATAACGCGATCTAACCCAAAAACCTTTATTATTAATATTGGTCGCGAAAGCCTACGTGTTAAACTGATCTTTCCAGTGGTTGCTCAATTTGAAACCATTTGAAACCATCCTCACGGCAGAACGAATTCTTCGGCCGTGGCTGATCATTGCTTCAACACAGCGGGTTCTCATGACATTGTCTTCTCTGATACCAAAGTTCTCTGAAAAACCTCCCGGTTATCACCAAAGATTTGTCCATGAGGCCATCCAGATATACAAACATAGACACAACTTCAACCGATAGGATGGTTTCAAATTGAGCAACCACTGGAAAGATGTTATAAATCAAGTCAAACGTTAGCTGCCTTTTAATTGTACAGCCATTTCCACTCCTCAGTGGTTGTATGTCAAACTTTAGCTACCTTATAATTTTACAGCCATTTCCTTAGTTTCCATTTTAGGTTTCAAAAAATGGGTCTGTACTTGATGTCTTGCATCGCCTCCCCCCGGAAAAACCCCGCCGCCAGGAAACCAAAAGGGTTGTTTACCCGCTTTTGTGCAGTTTAACAAAAGGCGGCTTAACTCAGCCCTTCCACCCACCCACGTCCCTTTCTGCCCCCCCCCCCCGACCTATATATAATCCAAGTCGTCTCGGAACTGTGCACTTGACACAGATATTCTGCTGTGACTGTTCCACCTGAAGACGGAAGCTTGTGCTGCCTCCGAAACGTCGTGATTTTTATTTTATTTTACCTACGTGACTTTACCGAAAAAAACAAAAAGTATGAATCCTTGCAGTCACGAAAGCTTCAAATCTAGAATCCAAACACTGTAATGTCAATGAATGTTTCTTCAACGTTCTGACCCGCCTCTAAAGAGCTTCATAGCTCATCGAATTCCTTCAGTATGAATAAATATTCTGAATCTTTATTTAGACTGGAGGAGGAAGCATCTGATGAGCTATGAAAAAAAAACTTTACAACAGATTTCTAGCAAGTGGCGGGTCAGCAACGTACATCGATTCAAAAATACAATAAAGGAAGCCAGAGCAAGATAGAGAAAAGTTAAGTAATTAAAATAAATACAGTAGAAATAACACATGAAAGTACAATTGCACGAGTCCGTACATTCCAAGTGCAAGACTGGGCAAGGCAGTAAAACAACAGGAAAGTTGCCCAGAGGTCGCCGTTTCTATGGAATCGAAACGCCGACCTTCTGGATTGCAAGTGCAGCGTGCTAACCACTGTAGAAGCTCCATTTGTTTCTTGGGGGGGGGATAAAGGTTAAATTGTTATATTTATTGCTATACGGTTAGCGGTAACGAAAAAATTAACAACCCTGATTCGCAACACGGTGACGTGACTTAGCGGTAGCACGTTCTTTGCTTGTTGCAAGAGGCTCACGGTGTGAATCCAGTGACCTCCCTGAATAATACTGTGGGTGGATTCACAGTAAAAATACGTGCCGTCTGCTTCACAGTGGACGTTAAAGATCCAGTTACATCATGGTCCAAAATTGCTACATTGGAGAAATAAAACAATTGCCTGCAAATTGCTCAATTGTAATACTGTACATGAATGCAGTACAGAGCAAACACGATTTCCCCCTATTGACAGACGAATGCTCGTTGGTAGGCAATGTGCTGCTGTCTATCACCCCCAGCTACCACTGGGGGTGCGCTTTCAAAAGTGTGGAGATGCCGTGTGATGCAGAGCACACTGAGACGCTTATAAGGCGCTGTATTACAGGTCCCTGCGGGGTGGGCTGGTAGGAACATTGGCGAAGTAACGTCACGGTGCCTTCGAACTTCCCCTCGCAAATGGTATTCGGCTGTGGGCTGTGTGTGAATTTGCCACATCCCCAAAAGCGAAGTTCGCAAATGAGATAATGTGACTTCCAAATGTTGGGTGCAATAAGACATATCAAGTCTCTGCGCTGTCTATTGCTGATTTTACACCCAACAGCACGAGATTTCACTTCGTTAAAGTATTGAAAGGGGACGGACGGACGGACACATTAGTCTATTGCAGGCTGGTACACTCAGTTTACAACTTCGTTCCTACCAGTAAAACAAATCATTGACCATGCAAGAGCTATTTTAACTAATAATGTCAATACTCACAGTATTCACTCACTCTCGAGGCCAGACGACGACTCAAGAGGCGCGAGGAGGAACCACAGACGAGCAAAAAGGCAAGCCACGCGGTGAGCCGACGACAATAATTACCCGAGCTCTGCGGTCCTCTATATATGAAGGTGTTATAGGCAAATTAGTGTTTTTAATGTGGGAGGAAACCAGAGCACCCGGATAAATCCACACGTGCGACATCCACACCATCCTGCACAGACGGAACAGGTGGAGTCCACATTTTGGATGTAACCCCATCTCCTGGCAAGCCAGGGGTTAATGGCACCAACTCGAAGCCCACGGGAGGCTGAGTTTCACAACGTGTGTGTGTGTGTGCGATGATCCACCAACCGATAATCTTGCTGCTCTAAATATCCACATGATGAGCCACTTCGTTGAGCTACCGTTAAATAAACGAATAGCTCAGTGTGCTTTACCTGGTAAGATAAAATGTGTTAAGTTGTATTCATAATAATAATTACATTTTGTAATGTGCATTCCATCCTAGGATCCCAATGCGCAATGCGTGGAAAGCAGGAAACAAAAACAGAACCAGGGCAACCGACCAAACTAAAGAGGAAAGGCCACTTTAAAGAGATGGGTTTTCAAAGCAAACTTAAAAATATCTACGAGCAAAAATGACCCAAGCTCTGTGGTATATTTCTTTCAAGTGATTTGTTTACCTTTCCTATACTTTGCACTCCGGTCGTGTTTTGTATTGTTTGTTGCTGTTGTTGTAAACTTCTGACCTTCCCCTTACTGGACATCTGTAAAAAAATGTAGAGCTCATCGGATTCCTTCAGTATATATTCTGATTATGATTCTGACAACCTTCGGAGTCACTGCCCTCCACTTTGCTGGCTTCCAGGCTGCCGCGTCCCGGCTGATTAAGCCAAAAAAGCCAACCAGCAGAGCGCAGGGCACCATAGGATGTGTGTTGTGTGTTATGTGTAGGGCTTAACGATTTGGGGAAAATATCTCATTGCGATTTTTCTGACAGATATTGCGATTGCGATTTGATTTGCGATTACATCTTTTAAAGTCAAGCTTCAGGTCAATATTCACTGTGTAATAGATTTAAACCATCAAAATATGAGCCGCTACTACTCTATATATTCTAATGCAAGGATGAGAACTTGCTTCCAACATGTCTTTATGAAACATTTTAATTTCAATAGCACAATCAAACATAGAACAATTGCTAAGTTAAAGAAATAAAGTTCTAATAATAGCAACAACAAAAAAACAATTCCAACAAGAAAGTCATAGCGCTTTTAAAATCACATTGTTTCAAATTGCGATATCGATTTGAAATCGATTAATCGTTCAGCCAGCCCTAGTTATGTGTGTGCCCTAGTTATGTGTGTGGTTGTTTTGCGGCCACCCACCCCACCCACCTGCCTTCTCCCCGGGTCATTGCGGCGTCGCTTCGCCCACCGGCGTCACTGCGGGCAACCGAACCCCATCACAAGCACGCAAACATGGCAGAGGAGAAGGTGCGCCGCTTGGCTTCGCTTGGAACAGAGGGGAAGGGGTTCCCTCGGTCGCCGATGAAGTCGATTTAAGCTCGAGCCTCGCGTTAACGTGGCCAGGGATTGAACGCACGAGACGAGACAGCACGACGCTTAATCGCGATAAGTATCTGGTCACACATGAGCCATTGGCGAATTGTAAAAACGATGGCTAGGCATTACGGGGGGGGGGGGGGTGGAGGGGGGTGACTTGCGTGGTGTGGGGAGCGGTGGCGCAGCGGTTAGCGCCTTGCGCTGCGAACCCGCCGATCCGATGTCGATCCCCGCTCACGAGCCACAACTGGCGAATGTTTGATTGAACCGGTCCTGGGCCTCCTCTAGGTCGACTCAGCCTGACACGGGTACTTGGCGCGGTGCCTAAACATTAATGGGGGGAGGGGGGGGGGCAAAGGCGGCCGGGCGTGGTGCTGTTCACCCCTCGTGTTGCCATGATGGCCTTCATAGGTGCTCTCAACTTGCTCCAACATTCTGTTAAGGCTCTAATAGGGGAGGGGAGGGGGGGGGGTTCTTTATCTTCATTATACATACGTGCGAAGCCGGTCAGCTGAGTTCGACTCACGGCCACGACGCACATCAACAGCGAGTGGTATCAGAACGTGTCTTTGGTGTCTTTTAAATGAGCGCGGTGTGTAAACACCTCTGGGGAGACGACGAAACTTCACCACGATGGTCAAGTGCAGGGTGCTAAAGGAAGAGAGTCGGTTATGCGGGACCGTCTCAGATATCATTCGCAAGAGGTTAGCCGTGGCCGGGAATCAAACTTTGGTAGCCAGCGTCATAGTTCAGTGTGCTACCCGCTGCCATCACCGCTCTGTGTGTGTATGGTATACGGATCTGTGTACCTTGTGCGCATGTTGCACTGCATCTTTAAGAAATACGTGATATGGGTGGTGCCGGGTGGAGTCAATTCAGACACGATATAGGAAAAACTCAACACCGCCAATAGCTTGACTTAAAGCTTTGATGAGTGCAGGAATTCATATTCTTTGGGTCTTTCGGTAAAGTCACGTAGATGGTTCAAAGAAAATAACAAAAAACTACGACGTTTCAATCATAACACAAGCGATCGTTTGTGTTGTGAACCATCTACGTGATTTTCTTTGAACCATCTACGTGACTTTACCGAAAGACCCAAAGCATACCACCAATAGCATTTTTTCAAAGAAACAATATATAATCGGTGGCGTTTTGGCCATTATACACCAAGGCGCTTGATAAGAATTGTTTTGATATTTCCTGATGAACAGTTTTAAATTGGCAAATGAAGTTACCTACTCGTAGATATCGATAACAATCCTTTCAAAATTCGAAATATATTACTGACACGAACTCATTTGACTTCAAAGTGAAATCAAATGTTGCTGGCACATTGCATAATGGGCAACCGTGTCTCACTGTGAACTCTTGTTAATGAGAAACTCATAATCTACTTACCACAAAATAATCATTTGCATTATCCACTTAGTGACTCATTGCTGGGCCTCAATTATAATTTCACTTGTGCACCGTTGCCAACGAAATATTACCAAATAATGTTTCATTCAGAAGATTAAGAGGTAGATTTAGTGCCTCCCGGTAGCACCCACGGGTAATCAGTCATTTAGGAAATATTATTGAGTGTCATTGGTCCTGGCCACCCACCCCCTCGTATCCCGTGCTGACCTTCACAGTACTTGCCCAAACAGTTTGCTAAGGTAATACGGGGGAGTCTTTGTCTTTGTTAATGTCTCGCGTCATTGGAAGTGCTTTATAGTCGACGGGCCAAAGCAGAAACTGATACCAAGGTAGAAAAACTTTAGTAGTACCGATTTATTTATGTGGTTAATACGAGTTCTTCATTTGATAACCCGCTCATTTCAAATAGCTATCACATAGTTATTGGCCACATAAAGAAATTGGAACCACGAAAGTTATGCCATCTCAGGTGCTACCGACAAGTGAAATATCTGGTCTAACTAGGTTCATGGTCTAATAGTCCATGTAGGTTTGTGGGCAGGTTGCACGTATGTAATTCCAATTGTAGGATACAAGATACTGTTGCATTGAGATTCAACGTGCAGATTAATTGTACGGCTAAACATATCAAATATCAATGCAGTCTTAAAAAGTTTCTGTATATTCAGTACGAGCATTAACTATACGTACACCGCATGTTTTGAGTGAATAAAGTGTATCGTGGTCTATGAAAGCCAAGCCTTAGCAGTGCAATTGGAGGCTTGGACATGGCAGTTCTCATGGAGACAAAGGTGATTTTTATCGAGTGTGCCATACAAGGCAGTGCAGAAGTACCTGATGATAACGCATTTAAAGTACATGTAATGCAATCGCAGTCTGAAATTCATGCAGAAATGTGACAGTGTCAGCCAATTATAAAGTGAGTTACAGTATGGTTTCGAACAATGATATACTGCACAGTAGATATCACAAAATGACATTGTAAAATTACAGTAGAGTATGTAATTTTAACACTCTTTCCTTTGTAGGAAATTGGTGACGAACTGAAGAGACAGGGGTTTAAAAAGATGGCAGATGTGAATGAACTTTGTCTGTCGCACAAGTAAGTGAAAGCGTGAGACATTTCCCCTCTTAATGAGTGTGTGATTGACAGTTACTTTTGCAATATGTCTGGAGAAAGCTCAAGTTGTCAAAATGAGGGTTTTGAGCTGAGTAGCTAAGCGGTGCCAATTCAGCTCAGTTGGCACTCACCATGAAGCAATATTTAAACATGAAATATTAATGAAATGGATATTACAAACAGTAACTCTTCAGTGAGCAATGCTAACACTGTACACTATTTTATTGTGCGTTTAGAGTATTTGGCTCCTATACATTTATGCATAACCACTTCGTTGAGCTGTCATTTCTTCTGAAAAGGAGCTATACTGTATACATCAGTAGGCCTCGCCTGGTAAAATATATATTTTTTATAGTATTGCAATGGTACATGCTAAATATGGTGATCGGGGTTTAGTTGGAAGAAGCATTGGCCTGCCCCATGGTTTATTAACTTACTGTTAGGTAATGTCTATATCATACTTTTTAGTTTCGAGCATGGAACAATGGAACTGATTTAATGTGTATTGTCTATGCAGAAGTTTGACACATTTATCTGATCTATCAAGATTCCACAATTTAAACTATTTGTGGCTGAATGGAAATAAGGTAAGATATACTTACTTATTATCAGTTCAGTTTTATAAAGCATTTCAAACGGTTCTCATGTATGTCATAATTTTGATCATTTACCATCTTAATTGCCCTCAACATATATTGCTATTCTTTGGGTCTTTCGGTAAAGTCACGTAGATAGGTTCAAAGAAAATAACAACAAAATCTATGACGTTTCGATCGCGACGCAAGCGGTCGTCATCAGGAGGAAAAAAGAGAGGAAAGCTGCTGAGGCAGACTGTTTTAAAGGTTTGAAATGGGTGTAGCCCAAGGGTCATAAACGAAGTGGGCGGGGCTATTAATGTTAATGTCAGAAATTAGCATGTTAATGTAAGTTCGGAGCACGACCTCCACGATGAGCGCGTGGAGGTGGCTATGTTGATGTGGGAGAAATTAGCATGTTAATGACAGATCCGAGGACGACCTCCATGATGAGCGCGCAGAGGTGGCTATGTTAACGTGAGAGAAATTAGCATGTAATGTAAGATAGCAGAGCTGCAGCCACGTCGGTGCACGAGGTGGCTGACAAATTTAACCTGTTAATGTAAAATCAGAGAGCCGCAAATAACAACTAACATCGGAATGTAGGATGGAAACATCACAGCCAGTTTTGACTTAAACTGGTTAATAACGTCCTTCCAATGACTGCTCAGTTTGTACCCATTTTCTCGGTTGAAATTGTGTCTGTGTCTATAAATATGGATGGCTTCATGAACGAATCTTTGTTGATAGCCAGTGGGTTTGCAAAGTACCGTCATCTTGGAGAAATCAATTTCGTGTGAGCCCACCACATTAAAACAACGATCAGCCACGGCCGAGGTGTTGGTCCTACCCTGTTTCAGATCTGCCTTATGTTCTCGCACACAGTCCGAGACATGTCACTTAGTTTCCCCAATGTAACTACTGCCGCAGACACAGCTTAGTTTGTAGACGCCGGGGTATTGCATGTCAGGGATCACATCCTTCACAGATGGGATCAGATCACGAATTTTACGTAGTGTTAAATCGCACCTGGATCTTGTTTTTGCTCATGATTTTGGAAATATTTTTGGTGACCCCTGCTATATATGGCAAAGTAATTGTTTTGATTGGGTCCTGAGATGGTTCTTTCCCAACGGTTGGGGTGATAGCTTTACGGATTGTGTAGTCTGAATATCCATTCATCTTGAGAGCTTGGTGTGTACGTGCTCCAGTTCACTGGCTAGGTGGTGGTTGGAAATACAAGCTCTATGGTGTAGAGCTTTGATGAGGGAATTCTTCTGGGATGGATGGTGGTGGGAGTCAGGTTTTAGGTAGGCATCCGTATGGGTGGCTTTCCTGTAGACAGTGTCCCATTGAGCCATCTGGTCTCTTTTCGATTAAAACATCCAAGAATGGCAACTTGCCATCCTTTTCCACCTCCATGGTGAATTTGATGGCTGGGTGTATGGAATTGATGTGGTTGAGGATTTGGTTCAGAGCTGGTCGGCCATGTGGCCAGATGACGAACATGTTATCTACGTACCTCTTCCACAAGGACGGACGTAGAATGAATGCCTGGATGGCATGTCTAAATTTTTCCCATGAAAACATTGGCTACAACTGGAGATAAGGGAGAACCCATTGGGATACCTTCAACTTGTTTGTAGAATGTTCCATTCCAGGTGAAGTGTTGGTGAGGCAGTGTCTAACCAGGGCCGGTACATCAGCATTCAGTCCTTGTTGGACAAAATCTTCAATGATTGCAATGGTGTCAGGCACAGGAACTTTGGTAAACAAAGAGACCACATCGAAACAAACGAGCAAATCACCTGGAGATAGTGAGATGTCCATAATTAACGATACCAAGTGAGCTGCGTTAAGTACAGCTGAGGTGGTCTTACCAGTGAATGGCTGTAAGGTCTCAGACAAAAATCGGGCCAGTTAGTAGGTGGGTGAGTCAATGGTGGAAACGATAGGACGAAGGGGTGTCCCTTCTTTATGGATGTTTGATAATCCATACAATCTGGGTGGTTGAGCAGCAGAGGGTTTTAAGGAAAACCGCTTGGTTGGTTCGATTAAAGATGTCGAATCAGTGATGATATTGTTGGTTTCCGTAACGAGGCGGTTGGTGGGATCTCTTTTAATGTTGGTATAGCTACCATCATTAAGTAGATCCTGAATTTTGTTATTGTACACGGGCTACCCGGTCCACTGCTCTGAATGACCTCTCCACTCCCTCGAAAGACCCATATATTGTGAGCTTCCTATGTCCTCCAGTTTACCTCCGATTGGCACGGTTCGCTACGTGCGGTACGAACGAAGTTCACCATAGATACATATACATTTGTAGCATTTATATTTCCTAACTTCGTGCATGGCGCACTGAGATCCCTGGATGAATTGCGCCTTAAAAATGCGAATTATTATTCACACCTACCCTCCGTGAACCAAACGTAAGTGGTGACAGGCTCGATTAGACAATGGAAGATACCCGGCTTAGATATTCATTACATTAACTGTACAGCATCTTGAGATGCGGGAGCATTTAGACACTGTTTTATTTAAAATGTGTAACAAGAGAACGAGAGCTCAAGGTCAGTGGTGACTCCAGTGTTGAGTCCATTCTTTTCGAGCCGATCAGAGTTTAGGGAAAACACACATTTGAGCTGATCTCTTTACTTAAAGTGGATAGTTTTCTGTAAATTTTTGCAATGTTTAGTAATGAAAAATTACAACTGTCCGTTTGTCTACAAATTCATTAATAAACACGTGTTTATTTCACAGCTGAAAACTGCCAACTTCTTGAAAACGAATTACAGACTTACTGAACTCTATTTGAATAATAACAAGCTGAAAGATATAACAGGTAATACAATTCAAAGTTGCAAGTACAATCGTGTACAGTACATTTTCAAAATTGCAATACAAATTGATAATTGATATCTATAAATTATGCTAAATTGTATAATTTCAGCTGCAATGACACTTAACAACAGATACAGCATTGTGATTTATTGCCAACAATATCACCAAGCAACAGTGGTGATAAAAGATCTGACTCAATAACACTCTAACCACCACGTCTTTATTGTATTTCCTGGGAGCAGGATGTTTGTTCCACCTTTCTTGCTTGCAAACTCTGTTACTGAACAACAACCAGCTGACAAGCCTGGAGAACACGCTGATGGAATTCCGCAGGATGACCTGCCTTTTGACACTTAGTAAGTATCATGCAACAAAGCAATATTCTGGCAGAAGTGTTATCATTGACAATACTGTTATTCAGGGATATGGCCATGTTAATCTTTGAAGGAGCATTGCTACTGGGGATAAAATAGAATACTGGGAATATACCAGTGACGTGCGGTGAGGTCAATGGCTGGGGAGGCACTGGCTCGTGTCAGAGCCAGATTCACACACTTAGGGGGGGCGTGGCCTCACTGATGGGGGCGTGTCTTCACTGAGGGGGGCGTGTTAGACACGTCCCCCTTAGTGAGGCAGATGTGATCGCTGCCTCCCCTGGTGCTTTTTCATTGCAGTTTCATGAAGAGACCAGCGAGCCTAAATATATTTATACACATGTGAAATAAGTTACCTGGAGTATGGAAGGCGAGGACATGAAATGGGGGTCTACAAACATTACATCGGTGACATACTGAGATAGTAACAGGCACACGCTTATTGCCCTCGCTCCATCCAGTTACTGAGGTGTTGCGCAATCAGAGGGGAGGCTGAGCTCGTCGCTGCCTCACCTCTCGTCTCTTCCGGTATTTGCAGCGGAGCTCCGCAAATTTGGCAATTTTGACCATAAAAATGATTGGAATCGTACACAAATGACATTTATAACACAAATCAGTAAAAAATCTTTTTATTTATTTTATTCTTCTTTCTTTTTTACTTTTCGTAACAGCTATTTTCATTGGAGTACGAGGGGCGAGCCTCTGCCTCCCCTGACCGCACGTCCCTGGAATATACCATGTGCATTGAATAAATTGCAATTTAAGCTGAAATATATATTATCTAAGTATTACAACTCTTCTCCAGTCGTTTCTACAAACAGCAGTACTATGCATACTAACTCGTATGCTCTTGCTAGTAAACGTTGTCAATTAACTTTGACTCCTATAGATCTGTTTCACAATCCACTTTCCCAAGAGCTGACCTATCGGACAACTGTAATTTACCACATACAGTCCCTTCAGCTCCTGGACAGATGCGGTAAGTGTACAATTTTATTGACATTTGTACTGTAAACTGATTTTGACAAACTGGAGTGTGAGGATTAAATAATTGTCTTTAAAGTAACCTATTGTTCTCTTGTTTTATATGAACGCATGATGCTGCATCTCCCAGAGGTTAAAGAGGAAGAGAGGGCCGAGGCTAGCAGGCACTTCGAGGGAGAGAGAGAACGAGTGAGACTGTCGGTGGCGTTCGGCCGACGGGCAGAGCTGCCCCCCACTCCGTGTTGGCCGGCCAAGACACCCTCGACCGCACCAAGTGAGAATATGCGAGGGTTGTTTATCCTTGAGTTAAATGGGCACCGTCTTGTTTACGGCTTTCAAACGTAACTTCCCATAACAAAGCCTCGTAGTTTTAGCAAGATGTTAACTCCCTCCCCTGGTAGACAGGAGCGTGTGGGTTCAATCCCAACCCTAATGCCTGTATATTTGGAGTCTGCATGTTCTCTCTCTCCGTGGTCGTGGACTTTTCTCCAAGTCCTCCGGTTTTTCCCTCGACATTTAGAAACCTGCATTTAAAGTAATTTAGCTGTAATATATTTCCACGTGATAAGTCACTTATTTGAGCTATCATTTGTGGCTAGGTTGCTTCTAAAAGAGCTATATAGCTCAGTGGGGCTTACCTGTCAAAATAAAAGTTTAGTTGTATAGTTTAATGACGTTAATTTCCTGGTCCACTTTCTGGACGTCTTGGTGTACACCATCTCAGGATGCAGTTGTTTTTGGATACATTACAATGCACGTTGTATAAAAATTTGGTTTATCGGCTGGTTTGGTATTAAGCGATATCATACGATTTCGTTGTCATTTACTCAATGTTTATTGTACCTGCACAACTATGAACATATGGATCTCAATATCATGGCAATAAAAAGCACAAGCAAAGCCAATACATCTATCCTTTAGTTAAGGACCATATGAAGTGTATTGCGAGTTATGAAAGTTATTATGAAATTATATGCTAGATTTGTGTACATCTTAAAAAGATTCTATTTCAACTTTTTGTTGTTGTAGGTTATGAGGTTGCTAACCACTACAAAAGGCAAGTAAAACAATGTCAAGTGCTGTACGGTTAGCACATTTTCACTTTTTCAAGCACTCAGCCTCGATGTTTTTTTTATACCATGTTCTACTTGTCAATCGCTTTGCTTATTTTCAAGTGATACTGTGATTAAATGCAGTCGTAAACTTGTCCCAAAGTATGCTGCAAGTAGATGTGTTTTATCAAACAGGTGTTGCATTGTAAAAGCAGGACATGACCTCTGAGTACTGTATATATGTACAGCATTAAAGTAATGCTGCACAAAAAACAACTACTGGACGTTATTCATTGAAGAGTAGTGCCTTCATTAACACATACCTCGGCCCTGTACAGTAGATCAAAACGAAATCAGAAGTCGAATCCCTCAAAATAAAAAAAATGTGCGATGCCCCAAATTTCCAGCAATTCCCATAATAACAGGGTACAGAAATCCTAAAATCCACAAGTTTAGATTGTTGGCTTTTGTTGGAGGGCTGCTAGAAAAATAAAACACCCGAGTTTGCCAAAAATGTGTGGATTGTAGCAACTAATTTCCCCTAATTTTGCGAGACTCCACGATGGGATTTATTTTTAAGCACTCCAAGATGCAGACACTGCAATGCAGACAACGGGGCACAAATACCTCTATCTATCTACTGCTCGATAAAGGCCTCCACAACCCAGCAATGTAAGTAGCGTTCCTTGGCTTTTTGGTTAATGCACGATTGCGTAACACCATGCAAATGTTAATTACTGAATGTTTTAAACAGATCTCCACGTGAACATCCAGAGGAAGCTGTTGTGGAGCGAGTCACCAAACGCTCATTGATGGAGCTTTCCCTGTTTGACTGGATTAATGTGCCCACAACTGAGCAAAGGCGCCGTGATGAAAAGAAAGCCCAGCCTCCACGCCTAATCGCAATACACTTTCGCTAAACACAATCAGCGTCCGCAGTGAACACATTAACTGTACAACACTTGCCACCTTAAAATATGTTCATCTGTAGCTGTGGAGGTGAGTTCAAGTCACAAATTGAGGTGGGCTGCCGAATTGATTAGAATTTAATTTCAAGGACGTTTTAGAGATTAAAACGCCTCAATGTTTCTGAATGAACTGTCATGGGGTATCGACACTGATTGGCATTACATGCATTTAATTATTAAAACAAAAGTAGCTTTATTTTATATATTTTAAGTCAGTATATACATGGTGGCATAAAAAAACATGTAAAATAGTTTAATTAATGTTAACAAAATTTCAAGCACATCTAAAAAAACAACTGCTTTTTGTGTTTAGTTCGTGGTCCTTCCCCCTAGCACAGTTGGCTACATACGTTGGACTTCTTTCAAACCGTGCATAGCCAACCGTGCTATTTGGGGGTGCAGGGAAGGACAACTAAACATAAAAAAATGTTCTAAAGAAGTGCGTTTTCACTTACGGTGCGAAAGTTGAACATGCATACAAAACAAAACGTATGCAATGCACGTGGGCACATCAAATAATCACTGTCCTTTTGATAAAATCTCAATATAATTTAGGTCTCAAAAGTTTGTTTGTTTAAAGCCAAAATGCATTACAACTACATCACAGCATATTTAATCAACATCTATTTCAAACAACACATTGATCAAAGCCAATGTAAACAGATATTGTCACTTTCTCTACAATGTCAAATTTATCATAAAATATTGTTTTCTAAGAACTAGTCTTCCTGAATGAAATGTTTGAATGAGACAGGAGTTTAGTCAAATGTTTAGTACGTCAGGAACATTTAAAAAAAGATTCCCACTAAAATTATCCAAATAAATTGTACAACACTGAAGAATACACGTATCAGTTTTCATTCACAAAAGACCACACTGTACTTCTTCTGGAATCAATGGCCCTAAAAAATAAAGAACGAAATGGTCCTGCAACAATTGGTTGCTGGGAGAAGGAAAACGCTTCATCCTGGACATGAGATGTACTGTTAACTTTCACTGGCCTGGACGCAGAGATGGTGTCTGCTTCATCATTCCCATTTTGTTGGGTATCCATTTTGGACCCATTGTTTTGTACAATAGGGCTGTCATCTTCAATATAATCGACAGGCACACTCTGCTTAAGGGGTGAGCTTTTCTTTGGTGAACCACACAAGCTTTTGATACTCTGTATAGAAATACTGCTCGACTGCAGCTGTGCGTCTAGTTTTGTGTGGGAACGTAGCTTGTACCGTTTTGCAGACTGTGTGTTATCTGGTGTCTGGAACTCAATTGCTCCTCTGATTGCATTATCTTCATTTAGGTGTTTACCTTGGAAACTTTGATCACCACTAAGCCCACTGTCACTTGGTCTTTTTCTTAGTCGCGAAGAAATGTTATTCGAAGTTTCATTTTTAATTACCGTGTCAGCTATTTCAGAACCTTTTGGTAACTCATCAAGTGTTTGCTTTACATCACAATCCAAAGTTGTACCTGTTGACGTCTTCAACACATCAAGATTTGGAGGCGAGACATTTTTCATTTTCCTAGAAAGCAACTTTTTTCTCGATAAGACAGCATTGTTATTGTTCAACTGCTCTGCATGTGTGCTACATTTTGAAGGATCCAATGCTGACGACCTGATATCTATGGCTACTTTGAGTATCTGCTGCCCCTCCAACTGGCATACATGCTGTTGTTGACAACTGTGCTCAGGCTGTATATTTGTGTCATTCTCATCTGAACATGGATCATCATCCGAGTTGTTTAACAGAAAATCTTCCTTCAAAGGTGCATTGGCAGTTTCCATTGACTCTCCAACACCAATTGTAATGCCACTGACAGAAATGTTCTGCTTGGATTTTTCTGCGCACTTTTTTTCTGCATCTGTTGCATCTTGTGACACTTCTTGGGCAAGTGTGCTCCGTTTTGGTGAATCTTCATGCTGCTGTTGACCGTGGATTTTGATTGAGAAATTCTCATTCAAAAACCTCTGCACAGTCTTTTCTCCCAATTTCAGATTTCTGTGAACATGAATTGAAACAAAATTTACTTCAATGCATTGACAACTGAACATATTAAATAATCTCCTAACTCAGTGGTAAGAGTGAGTGGCTCACAATAAGATGGTTGCAAGTTCAAAGCCTGATTTGGGGGTCGACTCAGCTTTATCCCTCCAGGGTGAATAAAATCAGTAGCCATAAGAATATGGAATTTCCACCACTGGCTCAGGGCTGTAAATAGGAGATGTGCACCTGCTCCATGCTCATTAGAGCAGGAAATCAGACCTTTTTTGTATAATGAAATTGAAGGTTCAAACAGTTTGTGCAGCCCATCATTAAAAATTCACGTATTAAATATTTTGCTGTTAAGAAAATTAACATAAACAGTACCATTTAGTTGAAAAATCTAATTACCAACGTTAGGTTGCTTTTCAAATAAAACTACATTTTTGCGTAAATATCAATCAGTACCATTTGACAAAATGAAGATGGAACCCAAAAAAACAGCTCTTGTGTCTCACACTATCTGGCACGTGTCAAACATTGTATATTTAAAAAAATGTTCAAATATATGGTGAATAATAATGCTGCATTGAATGGAACACCGAGATGGGAATGATGTCAAATACTATACCAGTGCAGTTGAACATAGTTAAAAAGTTTCTTTTTGCTTGTGAACGAAGTTTAAAACGTGTGTCACGTGGAAAAAGCACCCTCGGTACATATATAGAACGACTTGTTTTTTTTTCGGATGGCACCATCTTTTAACGTTAACAGCACCTGATAACATTTCATATAACTGCAATTTAGTTTTGATTTAAAGCTTTCGTGACTGCAGGGATTCATATTCTTGGTTCTTTCGGTAAAGTCACCTGACTTTACCGAAAGAACCAAGAATATGCTATTTAGTTGTAATATTTTTACATTCACAGACAGCTTCGCAGAATCTTACAAAGGGTTATCTACAAATTATACACAAAATAGTAAATTCAGATTTATTAAGTGAATGTGTCTGCTCTTATGTCAGATTTAACTTCATGCCATATATCACTAACAGGTGCCGTAACATCTGCAGATGATTTGAAGGTAACCACAGAAAATTGTACAATTGCAGAAAACACTTTTATATTGACAATACAGTTATTATCCTCGTGTCTGTGATGGTTTGGGAGGACCCCCATCATGGGATAATACACTCTTATAAAATAGCCATTTTCTTCCTGTCTGTAGAAAAAAAACTATTGTCTGCAATTATCTGTTAAAATCACAGATTAAGGGATAGGATGCAGCAACTTACAAATGCAGTTGCATACGCAGGAACTTGGAAAATGTTGTGAAGATGACATCCTCAACATTTCTAAATATCCAAAATCATAATTATCTTCATCAACATTACCATAACCACCTTCATCCATTGTCTTCACCACCATCTCACACCTGTGCCAATTGGCACTTCTAATTTTAATCGTTATCCAGACTGTAACTGACCACAGCGACATAATATAAAGTAGTATTGTATTTTAATCATGTGTGGTCACCAACCTCTCTGGGTGCCCTTGTAACACTTGTCCCAGTATACTGTCTTAGCAGCAGTGACGTGAAAGCAGTGGAAATGATAAAACCACCAGTAACTTACAACAAGTATCAATGACGGCAACGACAGAAGGGGACGGTGGCTATGGTAGTGACAATGGCAATGTCTAACAAAGTGTTCTTCACTTTTGCCGATAAGACATGAGTGTAAGGGCCGTCACACATTTGAAACTATGGGTTTTGACGGCACGATGGGGGTGTTTTTACATTGGTGTATTGTTGGAGGCCGCTCATCAGGGACCGCACTAAAGGCCACCAGGGGGCGCCAGTGGCCCGTGGGCCTTGCAATTAAGAACTCTTGTCTATCGTCTTCATCTTTGTCTTTAATTATCCTGTTACCATCCTGTTACCAACTACAAAAGGAATGTTAGCTGCTGTTTGATGCTTTCATTATCTATGGAAACCGTTAATGGGGGGGGGGGGGGGGGGGATCTTGCAGTTGTCAAAGGTTCTTGTTGGTGAAAATTCAAATGAAAACTCATTGGTAAGCAATAGGAAAGATTGTGGTTCAGCCCCCACTAATAGGAAATGCAGATAGGGTTGTGCACAAGACAAATGTTGCTCTATTTCGAAAATCGACTGTTTTAAAAACATAACCAAGTTAAAGAAAATATTACATGCGATGGCAAAATTACTTTGTTCAATGGACTTTATTTAAAATTAACAACGCAGAGGACAATGCATACCTCTTCAGGAAGACAGCACGACCAATCAAGTGTATGTTTTTGTGCCTTCCCTCCAGCTGGATGGACATGCATGTATCCCGCAGTCTCTTTGACACCTCATCCACACTTCTATTATGAATGAAAGTTACAAAGCAATAATGCAAAGGAGATCAATATTAATATGGTATGCAGAACATTGGTATGGTAACTCATTTTAAATACATGTTAATACGAGTGTATGCACAATTTGCATTTAAATCGTAAAATAAAACAAACTTACTGCAGTATTTCAATTGTGTGACGTACATAATTAACAAGAATGCGGTTTCATTAAAGGAACAGGAGACATTCGTTTCAATCGAAACTTAAATGACATTGTTTTTTAGACTTACCTTCCAGAATATTTCTGTCCAGAATAAGGAAGTTTGGGTTTAATCAACACCCACTGATCACAAGATAAATCGCTGGGATCTGCAAGGTCAAAGGTTCACAAAATGTCACAAGACACTGAGCTGGAGCTGCAATTCACATTTAGGACACTCTAAATTGTTCTTGAAATGATACAGAAATATCCCACAAATTAAATCACTTATGTTAAACATTTAAAGGTTTTGTTGCATTTGCTTTGATATTACTTAAGGGTGCACCAAATAAAAAAGATTCGATTGAATACTGAACATCTTAATTTGGTGTCAACATGCTTCTTAAGTGAAATACGAATAGGAAACTTTTAAAAGGTGGGCTCAAGATACACATTTTCATTAATGTCAAACAATTACACGAATTACACTATATAAAACTAAACACTGATTATTTAAGGGTGAGATGCACAGGTATATTCCTTTTTCAAAAAATTCCACAAGAACTAAATTTATATTAAATCTTGACTTAAAGCTTTCGTGACGGCAGGAATTCATATTCTTTGGGTCTTTCGGTAAAGTCACATAGATAGGTTCAAATAAAATAACAAAAATATGGTATTATTTATGTTGATTTGTATGTAATAAATCTATAAACAGTTAAACAATTTACTGAAACCACCAAAAATCACAAGCCAATTCTGGAAAGCACAACCCAATGGTCACAGTACAGGTATCCCTAGATTTACAAACGTTTATTCAACGAATTGTGGACGAAATAGAATTTCCAGGTAAACGAAATTTCGCATGGCACGTCCCATGAAACAAGTATCCAGAAGGGTGTATATACCTACTATAATCACCAATGTCTTTAACGCTCGTGACGTCACTCCACATCGACCATCCCCCCCTCATTAATATTCATGAGCAGGTGACATCCTCCAAATGGACATCCCCCCCACCATTAATAATTAGGTGACGTCACTCCACATGGGGGGGCCGAGGCACCTCCTCCCCTCTCCTCGGCGTAAACTTACAACCCTCACTACAAAGGCAGAACCCTCACATCACGCAATCTCCGTAACGCTATTCAGACATCAAAGTAAAAAGGACGTCATGATGAACAAGAAATTATAACCTTAAAATGAATTAGGTCTGTGTCACTGCGCCCTTACAAATTTCACACGCATTAATGCAATGAATATCACTTCGCGGTCTGCTTTTCACTTGCAAGGTTTCAGATTTACTGCAATACACCCGTCCTTGGACGGGCAAAAGGCTAGTTATCCATAAGTGACAGCGTTATGGTATCCCTAAAGTGCAAGCCTCCACTTCACCATTGCAGTCATTCCAACACGTAGATCTTTTGCGAGTTCCCCGTTTTAAATTGATTATTCCATCCTTTAAATATTTGTTCTATATTATATTTTGTATTGTGAAAAGACATCTGTATTTTTTTTATTGAGTAGAGCTGTGAAAACTATCCAAAACGCATCTCTAAATGTAAAGTATTAAATTAACGGGGAAAAGACATTTCGATGAATGAAAATTTCGTTTGACGCATGTTTTTGTTTCACGCATCCCTTCTGTAAATCGAAGGAAACCTGTAGCGACATCGCACCAAGCAGTCAAATTGCTCGGTCAAACTGTCCGGTCAAATGTACCATCCCGGTAGAGTACATTATATTTCTGAGCATCATGGAGACAATTCAGCATTCCTTTGCACACTGCAATTTTCTTTTTGAGGTCATCCCCCCCCGCCCCCCCAAAAAAAAAAAAATCCCTATTAGTGTGGTACTTGGTTTATCGCCGACGTGATTTCGAGGACGCGCTCTACCGGAAATCAATTAAAAACAAAAGGGGACATCTGGTACACCCCTAATTTAATGTCAACTTTCATGGCACAACTCCAGTTGGAAGTGTTCATGATTGTACGCACGACAAATAAACATTATTTTGCCTCAGATTATGCAACCTGTATGAGAGACCATACCATAACGGCTTGCTGTTGAACCATCACTGCTTGGATGAGGTGCAATTTTATCTTGATATGTTTTCAAAGGGGATCCATGCTGTTTTTTAAAATGTTCTTGTTTTGTCACCGTTTTCCATATTCTAATCTTTTTTTTAGGAGATTCAAAATCTTCATCTGAACTAAACTTCTCAATCTGGTCTACAATTTTCAAACATCTCTTCTTTCTCAGAGAATAGCTAAACAGTCTATCGATTGTATTTTTCACAGTCTGCAGTTTGTGTTTCGGACTCTTAGTACAACTCCTTAAATTAGTTTTTCCAGGAGACCTTGGAGTACACCTCCTACGGGGTGATGCTTCAATCTTGCTATTAACTCTCTTTTTCGATATTTTTGCATGCATTTCTGCATACAAATCGATATTATGCGTTGTTATATGCCAATCAATGGCAGATACTCTGGTAAATATAGTGTATTTAAAATATATGCAGCTCCAAAATTAAATGTTGAAATTAGAAACTGCAAAACTGTCTCCGCAGCCTTTGATCCTTTTTGTAGAATGTATGTGCACTTGTAATAACTTTTTCACCAGCCAATTCTTTTCTGAAAAAACTTAGCACATTAACAAGTTCTTGTACGAGTAAAACATTGGGTTTTCCTCAAATAAAAAATGATTTTGAACATGTCAAAATCTTATGAATGGACATGTACAATCTTCCCAAAAAAGCTTTTTTCCCGTTTTCGTAAATTACTTCAAATCAATCTTCTCGGCGTCAACTCCCAGCCTTGTGCTTGTCTAGTAGAAGTCTCTGATGTGTGCACTTAATACGCTGCTTATTTTGCTGGATTACAGTTTTGTTAAAATGCACCCATTGTCTCTCGACGCGGTGACGAAAAGCAGTCTGTTCATGCAGCTCTTGCAATCTGCTTCAGATGCCAACTGCTCTTTGCAACTGTTGAAGGATCTGGAAAGTGAAAAGGTCATATTAGAATTGTGAATATATACAATTTAAGAATACTGACATGTACGTGCATCTTAAAAGCCCATTAATCACCTGACTTCCATTTATTTAAAACGCGATAATGCAACAATCTGCAGTGTTTGCTCTACATTATTGAAATCAAATGTTGGTCCCACACGTTGTTGGTATCCTCTCATACAATGGTATCAGAGTGCGAGCTGCACTGCACGAACAGTCCCTTGTCTACGTTTAATAGTGTCACTATATCACGAAAGTACACGATATGAATGCATTGTATCTAGAGATACAATGGGAGGCTGATCGATGCCCAGGTGCGGTCAAGGGATGGCTGCCTATTGCTCAACCATGTTATGTATGCTGATGATCTGGTAATTGCTGCTCACGCAGAGGAGTTGGAGGCGCTGCTGCTGAACCTGGAGCTTGCCACGGAGAGGTGGGGGCCTTACCATCAGCCCCACCAAAACTAAGCACCTGCCTGGGTATTTTGTACCATCGAACACTCCACCCCCACAACTCCCAATTAGTGATAGGGCAGTTGTGGAGAGAGTGGAGAGTTTCCCATACCTGGGCAGTGTGCTCATGACCGGTTCCGGTTTAACAGCAGAGGTCTCACTCCGAATCAGTTGAGCGTCATTATATTTTCATCGGTTTCATAACGCTGTGTGGAAGCTACCTGGTCTGTCGCTCCGCACTAAGCTTCAGGTCTTCTCGACCACGATCATTCCCTCCCTTCTCTACGCTTGCGAAACGTAGACCCCCCTAATGGAACATCTTCGCCGGTTGGAAACATTTAGGCTGGCCTGCCTACGATCCATCCTGGGTTTAACCAGGCTGGATTGTATGAGGAGCTCACAAATCCTTGAAAGATGTGGGCAAAGTCCCATCAGTGAGCTCCTCCGGCAGGCAAGGCTGCGTTGGCTGGGTCATGTAGCCCGCACGCCCAGCCACCGCATGCCCAAACAGCTTTTGTTCAGCCGGATCGAGGGGCTAAACGGGCACGGCACGGGCTAGAGAAGAGATGGAGTGATGTGGTAAAGGAGGACGTGGAGCTGAGTGGACTTGCCGATGACCGGTACCAGCGGTGTCAAGATCGGCCTCTGTGGAGGAAGCTCATGAAGGACGCTACTGGGCTAGTGCCAGGCTTGGTGCACCTTGAGGCTACTGGGCAGTTGGAGGCAGTCGCCCTCCAACAACAACGGAGGGCGGAGGAGCGACACTCACAACAACGAGCGGAGCGCCGGGTGGCTAAAGCACAGCAGGTTGGCACAGTAGGGGGCACAGGTGGTGCATCAGCCAGTCATCTCAGTCATCTCAGTCAGTCGACCTATGGCACCTGGGTCTGCCCCGTGACCTCCTCCTGCCAGCGGGCGTTCGACACTTCACGTGGCCTCACAAAGTGCACCTAGCCTGGCACAAGCGTCGTGGTGACGTCACCGCTACTTAGTGGCGAATGGCGGTTGTTGTTGTATGTGGACAGTTTCCTTGCACGTGTTTACGTAAGCAATTACTGTATAAACATGGCCTAATCGACAATGTCCGTGCAAAGTGTAACGTTAATCTGTTACACGGACGATATCGATTAGCGCGGTACACTGCCAAATAGGTCACAAACGGAAATCCGTGGTGCGCGAGCTCAGCAATAACGCGTCGACCTTACAGAGCACGAGTCCAATGTTCCTCGAGCATACACTAGGACGATACAGATGAACACACGCCGTCAGTAATATTGCCACAGTAAAACTAAAGCACTGTACCTCGTTGGATTTCCAGGCCCTCACGCCTCTCGCTCTCTGCTCACACTGGCGGGGGAGGGGAGGGGGGCGAGGAGGCGCCCGCTACGGATCGCGCGCTGGCGCGGGTGGGTGGGGAGGTCAAACAAAACGCGATTTTTTAATTGATTAATACCGCGACATTCTTATATAACGCGGTCCCAGTCGTCTTTCTTACCGCCGACGGAGGTGCAAAGCAACAACTGCAACTTCACATTCTAGACTAAACTAGCTAAACTGCATTTAGATTTAAAGTTTTCGTGACTGCATGGATTCATATTCTTGGTTCGTTCGGTAAAGTCACCACGTAGAAGGGAACCAATTTTTATTTTACTTTTCCTTATTTTATTTCCCTTCTACGTGACTTTACCGAAAGAACCAAAGAATATCACTAAACTATGTTTGTTTTACCAGGCAAAGGCTCCGCTGGGCTCTTATTTCGGAAGCGACCCGGCCACAAATTGTTTAGCTCTAATTGTGTGAGCGACTTTTCGTGCGGACCTTTTAGAGCGGTAGCCTAATGCTGTAAACGCATGTTGTTTCTAGATGTGTTGGGAGGTACAAAACAAAACGGACAGAAATCCGATACGACCACGAGGAAGAGAGAGAGACAGACAGAGACATACACACAGAGACCGTAAACTCCACAGTTCCCAACAGGCGTCAAGGGGTCGGGATTTGCGTCCACGACCTCCTTTTGCGTACCTCCGGGCGAGGGGTGGTGATGATCACGTCTCGTCGCAGCGAGCCGGCGGAGTGCATCGCTGTGATTGTCTCCTTCGTTTTTGTGCGGATGGGGCCGTCCATAAGTGACGTCACGCGATGTTGGATTATTTTTTATCTCCCCCCACCTCCTCCTCCTCGTCGTCACACGACGTCACAAAAAGTCAGACCCCCCCCCCTCCCTTAAAATATGACGTCACAAAGCTCTGCCCAACCCCCCCCCCCCCCCCACAAAAAAATGTTTCAAATCGCTTTAAACTATTGGCATTGTAGTGCGTATTGAATATGGCGCTGCACGCCTGCACTCTGATGTTGTAGGAGAAAACATTTATATAAAAAACGCCTATTTAATTAAGTAGAACGTGTTGTCTATATTTATTTAAAGTTGCGCATTTTGATGTGACGTCACATTTCTCAAACCTCCCCCCCCCATCGTCACACATCGTCACAAATGTCTGACCCCCCCCCCCCCCCCTTAGGTGCGTGACGTCATTTATGGACAGCCCCTTATATGCTGTTTGTTATACGTGTGTCTGTTCTGGATGAGCACAGTCGTACGCTGCTGGAGTGTTTTATTTTTTTACCATTTGCATTCCCGTACCGTTTACTCGTATTCGTGAGCAGGGAAATTCAGTTTGCAGGTCCATACGGCACACAGCCGTTTCAATGCTGTGTTTGTGTTTCTCCCTTGTGATGGGACTTTGTAGGATGAACGTTGAGATTTAAAAGGGCACGGGTGAACAATAAGGTCTGAATTGGTCTGTAATAAGGAGGCACTGATAAGGTATGCATTTATGCATCAGGTATCCGCATCTAGTGCTATGGCTTGTGCGGTGGATGCGGTCGAGCGTGGACTCATGAGCTTCGTGGAAGATCAAACCTCGGGAATCTTCTGCGTTGGTAGCTGGTAGATTGTACATTAACCGTAATACAGCAGTTTTACAAAAAAATAGCATTTGTATTTGTTACAGTATTGATTTAAAATAGATGACCAAACATTTCGCGGGAAATGTGCATCACGCTCAAGTAAACCATTATTATTTAGATTATTTTCGCTGCTAGAAATGTCCACATGATAAGCCACTTAGCATTGAGCTACCATTTGTAACCAGTTCGCTGCTGAAAAAGAAGCTAATAGCTGCTATCGTGATGTTGTATTTGTAGTTGGAACGATTTGGCCCGCCCCTACTGGACATCTGTGAAAAAGAGCTTTATAGCTCATCGGATTCCTCCAGTAAAAATATTCAGATTTCGATTGAAAGTGCGTAGATCTAAGCAGAAATCCATTAACGTTCTGTATAGTTTTAACCACCAGGTGGCAATGTTTCCCCTTATGGGAATTTAACGTTTGCTCTTAGGGGCCGTCCATAAATGACGTCACGCACCGGGGGGGGTCAGATATTTGTGACGATGTGTGACGAGCGGGGGGGGGGGAGGTTTGAGAAATGTGACGTCACATCAAAATGCGCCACTTTAAATAAATATAGACAACACGTTCTACTTAATAAAATTGACTTTTTAATAAATGTTTTCTCCTACAACATCAGAGTGTAGTGCCACATTAAATACGCACGACAATGACAATAGTTTAAAGCGATTTGTAGCATATTCGTGGTTCTTTCGGTAAAGTCACGTAGAAGGGAAACAATAAAATAATAAAAATATAAAACAATAATATTCTCACGACGTTTCGACTGCAACACAAGCAATCATCATCAGGTGTGAAAACCACAGCAAGACAATTTGAAAAAAGTGGCGGTTTTTTTAACGTTAGCACCACAAAGAGCGATTTGACAGTTTGTTCAGATGGACGAGTCCATCATTGTTCGGAAAAGAGGAGGGGGGAGACGAAAATAATGGATGCGGTCTGAAGGCCACCGTAAGCGTGAACAATCAATTAAGACCCGAAATGGTTTATCAAATCCTTCCAATGATTGCTAAGCCAGAATCCATCTTCTCGATTGAAATTGTCTTTGTATATGTGGATAGCCTCATGAACGAATCTCTCATGGTAGCCAGATGGCTTTCAAAGAACCTCTGTCTTGGAGAAGTCAATGTCATGTGAGCCTTCATAATAAAGGTTTTTGGGTTAGATCGCGTTATTTAGAAATGTGTCGAAACCCTCCACCACCCGACACAGCCAATCAGCAAAATAAAGTGTCACGTTGACAAAAGACAAATAATTCACTACTTTAGTCCACCGGTGTATTGAAGAGTGAATCCACAACATTTGCAGTTTGAATACGACGTTTCGCTAGTAATTACATCCAGCATCATCGGGCAATTCGCCAGAATGATGCTGGATGTAATTACCAGCGAAACGTCGTATTCAAACTGTAAATGTTGTGGATTCACTCTTCAACACACCGGTGGGCTAAAGTAGTGAACTAATTGTCTTTTGTCAACGTGACACTTTATTTTGCTGATTGGCCGTGTCGGGTGGTGGAGGGTTTCAATACATTTATAAATAACGCGATCTAACCCAAAAAACCTTTATTTTGAATAATATTGGTCGCGAAAGCCTACGTGTTAAACTGTCATGCGAGCCTACTGAATTATAACAGTGATCTGCAACCTCTGCAACGAGTTGCAAACACTCCAGCGTTGAGCCCTGTCACCGCTGGCCCGAGTACATACTTAGATATTAAAAAAAACAATGTCATAATACTTCACGTAAATGTAAACAAAATATTTAAAACAAGCCATTGAAAAATTATAGAAGCTTTGTTGTAAAAAATCTAAGTGTGAGGTAATGCTCTTGTTAATTAAACAATCCATCGTCCATCAATTTGCTTGGGACAGCTGGGGTGCGTTGCATTGATCCCTGATGAGCTCTGCGCATGCCCACGTCTCATTGACAGCGGCAGGAGAGGAGTCATTGGCGAATTGATGTAGCCGGGGTAGTAAGGATGACTGCAAGGTCTGACCAGGCTAATAAGGGGACATCTGCTCTGTTTTGACGTCGATGACGAGAGCCTAAGGGCTTTAAGTGTAGGGGTGGCTTCATCCAAGGGTACAACATGCTCATGGCACCCTGAAGTCCTCGTGGGAATTTCTGATCGCTATGACAGGGCCAATCTAAATTTGATTTCATCACCACATAGCACTCATGTATTTACTGACATTTCAGGCACAATAGGTTAGTTTCTGAGAGATTGCATGATATTGCACTTAAATGCCCAATGCTTTACTAACTAACCTATATTCTGGCTTATCATCACAATAGTTAATGAGACAATAATATTATTTTTGAACATAATTTCAATATTATCCAGTGAACAACATGGGATTAGGCAGAGTCAAAATAATTATGTTTTAAAGTGAGAGCGACACACTCACAGATTTGCAGTTGGTGCATAAGATTTGTCCACCGACATAATTATCTCTATCGCTTGGCAAAGATGCCTTGTTTGCACATGTGCCATACCTGAGGAGAGAAAGTGTTTGATCTCAATTACCAATAAATCAGAATTTACGATCAGACAGCAAGTATAGCAAAAATGCATATGAATCACGACACATTTGCCAATAAAACTTACTTTAAGTTTTCCTGGACATTCACATGGTGCATGTCATTGATGATCCTGCAGTGTTGGCAATGAAATATCACATCTCTCGCCTGAACGGTCTTACTCTTGATCTTCTTCTGTCTTTCCTTTGTTCCTCGTTCATGAATTGTCTCTGCAAATCTTTGACCTAAAGGGTTTCCCAAATAATAAATGAAAGCAAAAAAGTTATGTTTGTAATGAGGAAATACTAAAAAAAGTTGTACATTTCTCTAAATATTATGCTAACATGATTATAACCCAATCTTATGGATAAAACAAGAAATGCTTTTCCCCACACGGCCAAGTGTAATATAACGTCATATTTATAAACGTTACATTTGTCTGACTGCATACATATATGATAATGTCTTATGCTTAACATCCACATTACTCTACGGAAAAGGATATTGAATTAACGATTAGGAATGCATATTTAACAAAGTTCCACCTGAATGCCTTTGTGAAGATATTAATATTATAAGGTACATAAAATGTGAAGTGTGCAATGCAGGTTGCCTATGCCTCGCGACTCCACATTTACCTTTTTAAGATAATCGTCGCGTTTCATAGACTGAACGGTCTCAATGGCTTTGTGCATCATCGTCTCACGGTAAATGTTGGTGTTTTCACGCTCCACTACACCTGTGCCCAACCATGGCCACGAGGAAATAGGTGATGTCTTCGGCCCGAGCTCTCCCACGTGCCTGCCAGACAACAAGCACACATACCGACTACTGTCACCAGGTGCAGTTGGATATCCTTAGTGGCTGTCAATGTATTATTGTGCCTTCACTGATTATACGAGAAGGTGGTAAATGCAGTTGTTGATACTTAAAAGCACATATCACAACACACACGTTGTGAATACTCTTTGGTTAACTTCGGTAAAGTCACGTAGGTAAAACATAATAAAAGTTAAAAAAGAAAATAAATTAAATCACGACGTTTCAGGCGCAACACAAGCGCTCGTCATCAGGTGGGACCACCACAACTAGAAGCAGCTGCTGGAATGGGTAAGAGAGCTGCAGTGGAACAAGACGCTATGTAAATAAGAGACGGGGGGGGGGGGGGCACGGAGGAGATACGGAGGGGGGGGGGGGGTTGCGTGGTGCGGGGTGCAGGGAACTCGTCCTCAAATTAAGATACGGCACATTTGCTCGCCTTTTCAATAGCCATAGCAGTAAGAAAATTTGCACCTTCATAATCAAAAGTTATTACTTGTTCTGATATTTTTTTAAAAAAATGCTTCAAAACGATGTTATCACAAGCAATCATTTATTTTCAACCACAATCTACTTTACATATTACTATTCCATACCTTGTGTTTTAACAAAAGATCCATTCATTATTCGTGTCCATCTTATGAAATGTATATTATCTCCTCCCACAACTATAACAAAGTAATTTTTTTTCTATTCTATAACACATTTTACAAACCCATTAATGCCAGTAATTTGCAAATGTGTTAGCCTGTGTGTGACAAGGGCATTTCGTACCCGTGCCATAGCCGTTTCGTTTGTGACCAAGCTGTAACGAATAACAAAATTGCATTCTTTGATGTCCAGGCCTTTCTCAGCCACAGTGGTGGACACCAGCTGATTCAGTTGACCCGTCCGGAATTTTTTTTTTAATCACATCTTGTTTTTCACTCTATTAAATATGACAATGAAATAAAAAAAGAGTAGCGAACTCAATTCAATAACTATTTATAGGCTATTTTAATCTAAAATTCAAACAATAAAAGCACAGTATGATAAATTATGCACTGCAGAATATCTGTGTACTGCCGAAAGGATTGTATGTTACAAAGATGTACATATAAAAAAAATAACGCTCGCAAAATAATGTATCTGGTAAACCAATAACATGCAAGGGCTCCCACTGACCTGAGTCATGTGCTTGAGTTGGTTGCTGTGATCTGCACCAATTAGGAAGTGAGCACGCATACCAGCCGCCTTCAGATCTGCATTATCGTGAACTCATTGCCAAAGGGTCTGGGCACTCTGTCGCGTCTTGGTGAAAATTATGCCCCGGGATTATTCGGCCTGCCTGAAACCCTGCGGCACTGCCTCCTGTAGCGTTTCCAGGTTTGGATTCTCATGGCAAAGATTTGATGAGATCTTTTTTCAGATTAACTTTGTTATCTATAAGAAATATACTTCAAAGGAAAAAATACATAATTAGACCTCCTTTGCCAGTACCAAAATATAATAATAAATACAGTGAATGTTTTTTTGTCTTCGAATCACGAAAACCACAGTATAAGACGTACCAGAGCAAACGACGAGACCTAATCATAAGTTTGCTGATGAATGCTCGTGTCATAACAGAATAGTTATACTTAATAGGGCATTTTAAGATGTGAGCGGAGCCAAGCGTAAGTATACCAATATGTGCAGTTATTGAAATTTCTTTACAACATAATTTGGATTTGGAGACTAAATGAGCAGCTGCTTCAAGATGCAGTACAAAGAAACACAGCCAACTAATAAAGTTGTCAGGTGAACAAACGTACCGATTTATCACTGATTCAGCACATTGGTGTGTTTGGAGAGTAATCTCGCAACATTTAAAGGGGTACGACGTTTCGCTCATAGTTACAAACAACATCATCAGGCAGTTGCCAGAATTATGAAAATGCCCTCCAGTCTTTGGTGTTAACTCGGGGCTTTGATGTCATCAATGTGTATCCACAAGGGAATAGGAAGTGGCAGGAAGTGATACTTTAAGGTTAATATATTCACATAAATTGAAATTGTATCTCGCAATAAATTATCTTTGCTAAATAGGGATGCCATAGTGGAGAGCCAAACGGGCCTACTTTGATCTGCTACTGCATGCGGCATACATCATTCAATAAACATACTTAACGCACCGCCAAACAGTTTTAAAAGGAATTATTCTGTTTCATTTCACTTGTCCTCTTTTTTTGCTTCTTCAACGTAGAAATTCTGGAGGTGGTTAAATGCATCCACCATGCGGATAGTGCTGTTTGATGAGGAGGGCATCGTTATACTTCCTCAAATGCAGAGCACAGGCACGCAGGTCCCTGTTGGTGTCCATGGCACCTGCACAGCAGGAGGAACGGTGTTACTCCGTGTTGTAGTCAAAGCAAGAAAGGCACTGCCAGTGATATATGGTGCCTTAAGCATTACTGTTCTTTATGGTTAAGAATTCAAACATGCAGCTAGAACACACCTGCAATGCAATTTAGAATTTAAAAAAACGTGCAGTAATGTTATCATGCAAAACATCCACAGGTAGCATTGTTAACTATGAAGGCACTGCAAACAGAAAATAAACTAAATTAAATCGGGAATAAAACCTTTCTTTTCCTGCTCCACGATCCATTGTTCATAGCCCTGTGAGCCAAACTCAGAATTGCTTATTTCCTGTATGTGTGCATGTATGTTGTTCATTAAATACCTTCAACTTGTCTCCAAATAGGTCCTACGCATCATACATTGCATACATACACACACAACACCAAGCGTGAAAAAGAGGTTAGAACATTGAGATTTGGACAACGTGTAGAAAATCTTGAGACACAAAATTACAAGTGCTGGTCTGTTGTGTTTATTCCCAGACTTCACCCCACATAACTCAGTAAAGGTTACACGAGGAAAACAATTTACTGGAACGCTCGCTTAAATTGGGGACAGTAGGGGAGAAGACCAACACGCAGGCCGTTAAGGAGGTGCTCAGACTGCTGTGAGGGCCTTTGGAACAGAGCTAAATTGATCAAATAGTGACGAAGGCAAAACGAAGATTGATTAGAAAGCACTGAGGGATTCTGTCCATTAACAACCAAGGTGGTTTCTGGATAGAGGATGAAGTTACTCCGTCCTAAAGAAATGCCAACATTTGCTGTGTTGAGATTAGGTCCACTGGATCCACATTTACATTGTACTTTAAAGCATATAGATCAGTCTATAATTTTAAAAACAGGTAGACCAAAAATGTTGAAACGGAAGACATTCTGTACAGTGATGCAGTATCATAATGACTTTTAAGTAGGCATATTGCCTATTATAGTATAGCATTTTATACTGTCATTTAGCAGTGTTTATTATGATGATGACACTACCAATGCAGTCCATTGATTGATGAATATTACTTAAACTGTATTACAAGTAGTCTTGCAAAGAGTTGTGAGCGTTTCAATATTTCACGAATAAACGAGACCTCTTTCCTCTCATCTGTGACCTCCGTGTTCTTCTTGGGCTCCTTCACAGTCTTCTGTAGCTCGTGCTTGTGATCCTGTACTGTTTTGATAGAGTTGGCATCCAAGTTGGCACAGATCTGTAGGAAATATATTTTACACAAACGTTGTTTTGAATACATAATTATGAAGGTAACAATGTACAGCCATTGTTAATCCGCTGATGTATGAAGGTCCCCCCCTCCCTGCCACCATGCCGTGTTGGTTGTGGGGGGTGTTTGAATATACTTCAGCTCGTCGGTTAGTGCTGGTTAGTGAAGGGGGGATTTGTGCTGGGTTCAATAGTACAGTATGCTAACCATTCCGCTACCGTTCTTCCCCTTATTAATAAGTACACACTAAACATTTGTGTGTTTTTATTAGTAACGTGGTTTTATACACTATTGTATGCCACATCACCTTTGGCCGTATATATTCAGGTGGTGGTACATACCATATGACTGTGTACCCTGCTGATTATATAACTTACTAACCTTGAAGATATGGGTCACAGCCTGTTTTTGTTTCTTGGCCCCAACAACGCCAGGAGAGGCTGTGAGGCGCAAAATCTGGGGAAGATTCTTCTTCTGGCGTTTGAGTTTATCCTCCAAGTAGCGATACATAATCTTGTTATACACAGCCTCCTTTTGTATGTGGTGGCACTCGTCAATGATGAGCAGGGTAAACACTGTAAAAAGAGAACACTACATTTGTAAAGCTCAAGCATACACTCGCCTCTGTCTACAGACCAATACTATCCAGCAACATTAGTTTAAGCAAATGCTGCTGAATAATATTGGTCTGGAAATCCAAATGGCCAATTAACTGAAATATATTTATATTTGGACAGAGAGAATAGAGTTCTGCTTATAGGTCTTTACCAAGATTAGTCCACAACAACACCGAATGCGTTTTTATACAATAAAGCATGTGGTAATTTTAGAATAAAAGTGTATGAAAAATAGCTACTAGTTACAGTAAACATAATGTACAGACTAATGACAAGCAGACGTATACCTGATAGAGAGCTTTCATGTATCCGTAATGAAAAAAATCACAGGCTTTGTATTTAAAATACCGATGATACAATACTGCTCATGGATATGTTTATAAACTTGCATTATAATGAGCTGTCAAGTAATGCCCACAACACACCCGCCCAACACAAGGTCTTGCTGATGAGTGAATATATGTACCACCAATGTCGATTCCCTCATTGTCCAAATTGCAAAGGGAATTCTCCAGGATCTGAGCAGTGCAGATGAGCACATCACATTGCCTCTGTGTTTGTTATCCAGTGGCACCTTGAGTGGAGTGTCCCCACTCATGGCTTGCACGGCGTAGCCTTTCAGCGGGGGTCTTGAACTCATTTGTTGACAGCTGGTCCACCAGTGCCACCTGAACAACACCATCATGAAAGTGAAAGAAACGTACACCCTTAGTACAATAAAGAATAAAGTACAACCAATGCATCAATTCATTAACTAATATGGCCCCTTAAGCTCACAATAATACGTTAAATAACATACGCAAAAATAGTGCAGGTCAAAGCACTTATCATTCTCCCTCTTTCCTTGCACTGCTCGACTTTGAAATGCCCTCCCATTTTTCTTGGTTCTTTCGGTAAAGTCACGTAGAAGGGAAACAATACAATAATAAAAATATATATATATAAAACAATACAATTATCACGACGTTTCGACTGCAACACAAGCAATCATCATAAGGTGTAAAAACCACAACAAGAAACAAGAACATTTTCTTGTTGTGGTTAAGACAAGACGAAATATCTGTGGATACAATTAAATTAACGGGACCAGCTGTTGGACCAACATTTGCAGACCTGTTTACAGTATTAATTGTTTCCATAGAAATTAAACACCTGACATGGGACGATCTATATCTCAATTAATAACTTATTCAAACTGGGAAATAAGAATGATAATTATAATAAGAATGACAGCCCTATTAGCATTTTATCACGCGTACTCCACATACATTAATCATGTATTTGCAATAAGCGGATACAGTTGTTGCACTTAAAAGGCATGCTATTGTTTTCCAGTAACAAACACAATACAATAATTGTACAGTAGTTGCAATAACAAAAACATCAACAATAGTATTTTAATACAAGTATTTTTGACATGAATGACAGGCATCTGGTGCTTACATCTTCTACTAGGACAGCCTCTAATCAGCTATGGAAGTTGAAACGGAAAAAAAAGTGATCAACGTGCAAGCATTTACGGCCAATGCACTCGTCTGATTCAAAACGATACAGTAAATTTTGATTTAAAGCTTTCGTGACTGCAGGGATTCATGTTCTTGGTTCTTTCGGTAAAGTCACCACGTAGAAGGGAAACAATAAAGTAATAAAAATATAAAACAATAAAATTCTCACGACGTTTCGACTGCAACACAAAGCTGTGGTTTTCACACCTGATGACGATTGCTTGTGTTGCAGTCGAAACGTCGTGACAATTTTATTGTTTTATATTTTTTATTATTTTATTGTTTCCCTTCTACGTGACTTTACCGAAAGAAACAAGAAAATGATACATTAGTTATTATGCTCACGGGATGGATTGCACGTTGGTCCAACACGGTCTTTCACGCTACATTCCAATGTGATGTTCGAGGCGGCATCCACGATCGACTGTTAACGATGCTAGTGGCAATGTTTCGTACTTCTGGATTTCCGTGTGTGCTTCCAATGCAGGAACTACAGGTTCAAATTCTTCTTCTGGTTTTTGGTCGGTTGTAATTAGAACCTAAATAAATTAAGAGGCGTAAACAAAAATGTATATCATTACCGTGAAGTCAGCAGAGCTCATAAATGCTGTGCCCACCAAAATTTGACTTTTCTTAGATGGGGTTTTATTGCCTGAAATTTTTGTTTATTGATTTTAATACAATGACAAGTAACAATGTATGTGATTATAACATATTCATAAAAGTGAAGACTCGTTTAAACATACCTGTGTCACTTCCCAGTAGATGTATGGCGAGTTATCTGTGGACGTTATGGTGCGGCGCATTGATAAATTTGTTAAAACATCCTGGTGGCTTACGCACTAAAATTGCCAGAAACTTCCCTTTTGGCCCTCGTCTCGGGTTCAGCCAGAATCTACGGAGACAAAGCGCAATCAGCAGCAATTATTATTCATTAGCTATCGGCAACCAAAACAGCAAGATACAATGTTTTATTCGGTGTAACAAAAAATCATTCAAGAGCCGCAATGCATGTGGATACGAGACGGTGACCCTTTATAGAGAACGGTCACGAATGAGTCCTTAATGAGCCGCAGGTTGCCGTTCCCTGCGCTAGTGTCTCGAATGGCCACGGAGGCTGTTTGGGACAGAGCATCCGCGCCTGGACAGCCCTCTCAGAGTCGAGTGTGATACATTACGTTTGAAAAAAAGAAAGAACGTAGTCGAAAGGCTGCGGCAGGCCTTTAATTGTAAGATTGGAGTGATGCCGTGGGCTAAATTTAATGTGTCGTTGGGTCATTGTCATGGCCAGAGGGCCTGATTCTTATCGCTGAAGCTGTGATCAAGTCACGGCGTTATCCGCTGCAACAAGGGGTAAACACGACAGTTTAGACCCCGTGGAAATGGCTGATAAGAGTACCCAGGATAGTGGCGTCAAACATAGGAAAGGGCATCAATTAAAATGTCTTCGCAAAGACCGCGTGACAAAAATTATTGAAGCTAGCAAGAGATTTTAATACACCAACAGCAATAAATCCTAGAGGTGCACTAAAATATGCAACCAGCCGCAACCTATTAAATATTTCACTAAAACACACCTGCACATCATTATAGAGTAAATTATCTATGAGCTTGCAATGTGCACAATTAAATTATGTATTTACTTCTTTATTTGCATGTTTGGATGTGATATTCATTGCATAAATGCATACCATATTCTGAACAGATCTAAAATGCGTGTCATTACGTGCTTGCTATGTATGTCAATCGACACCCTTGCAAATGAGATCTTCCACCTCAAGAGATTTTCAATGTCAACTTTAATTGACTAAAACAGTGTTGCAATAAGGTGTGTGTTGAAATAAAAGTATTCGCAATCCATGCATCGCATTTAAACACCAGAACTAAAATAAACATGGTACATATTCTAATGAGTGTTTGGCTTTGGGCATGGGTAACAGCAAAACAGTCCAAGGGAATTAAATTAGTATCCTGTACTGCACAAAGAGGGCATCCAAAATTATAACAGCACTCTAAAAACACTTCATCCAGTGCCGGCCGTAGTCTGTGCTAGACAAAACACGAAATATTCATTTTTCTACAAGCCATTCTTAAGCAACCTATTGTAAAAATAGTGATTGTTTACTGCACTGAACTGAAAACTTGAAAAGTGGCTTTGTTCAACGACAGCCTCACCAGCCGTAGAACATGACAAGATGCACAATCTACACGTGACAAATTCATACCTCACTGATGTCTTCTTCATCGAAGACATCGTACATATCCATCATCACTTCATAGTACTTCATTTGTTTTATGATTGTCGGAGCCAAAAGATTAATGAGCTCGACTTCTATCTCCTAAACGTCCTCCTCCTCGGGTGGAGGAAGGTCGACACAACCATCCGAGTCGTCAGCAACAGATGCCGCCACGTGCAATTGATTCGTTACTCGCGGGGCCATCAGGAGCGAGCTTCTCCGACTTTCATCTTAATCTTGTCAAAGAGAAGCTTCGCGGCTTTGTTCTTACATGTTTTATCCACGCTCTCGACCTGCTGACGCTCTTCCTCGCTCAATGTGACGATTAAAAGAGGCAACAAAGGGCAGAGGCTTGCACGAGCTTTTGTATTTTGGGCATAAAGCACTCGGATCAGGTAAGGGGCGAGACTCTTGCGAGCATTCCTCCAGCGACATTGCTTACGATGGAGACCTGGAAATGCAAGGTACATCAGCGCACGATTTGCAAAACACATTGTCGTGAAAAAAAAATGTGTTGACAGCTCAAATGCTCTCTACATCTGGTTGCAAACCCGATCGTTATCCCACAATGCCAAATGATTGCCTCACATTTACGACGTACATTGCTGCTCTGTTTCGAACGGAAATGTGTGCAAAGAGGCACGGAGGTGTGCATGTTTAGGGTTACACTGGGGGACGAAAAGAGGAGCCCATTAATGAGAGAGAAAAAAACGCAAAGTTAGAGCCAATGTTTACTGCTAGGAAAAGTAAGTCAGTGGGCTTGGCCAGGGAACAAGGCGAGACGGTCAAGACAAACGACAGCGTGGCAGCCAAGCTAGGGAACATTGTCCGCGTGCAAGATGGACCTTTGAATGAGCATGGCTGCTGCTGATGATCAAGTCAGAGAGGTCACAGCTATGAGTCAGCTATAGCCATACAGGTGAGCAGCTATGAGTCAGCTATAGCCAGACAGGTGAGCAGCTATGAGTCAGCTATAGCCATACAGGTAACAGCTATGAGTCAGCTATAGCCAGACAGGTAACAGCTATGAGTCAGCTATAGCCAGACAGGTAACAGCTATGAGTCAGCTTTAGCCATACAGGTCACAGCTATGAGTCAGCTATAGCTATACAGGTGAACAGCTATGAGTCAGCTATAGCCAGACAGGTCGCAGCTATGAGTCAGCTATAGCCATACAGGTCGCAGCTATGAGTCAGCTGTAGCCATACAGGTAACAGCTATGAGTCAGCTATAGCCATACAGGTGAACAGCTATGAGTCAGCTATAGCCATACAGGTCGCAGCTATGAGTCAGCTGTAGCCATACAGGTAACAGCTATGAGTCAGCTATAGCCATACAGGTCACAGCTATGAGTCAGCTATAGCTATACAGGTGAACAGCTATGAGTCAGCTATAGCCAGACAGGTCGCAGCTATGAGTCAGCTATAACCAGACAGGTCACAGCTATGAGTCAGCTATAGCCATACAGGTGAGCAGCTATGAGTCAGCTATAGCCATACAGGTAAGCAGCTATAAGTCAGCTATAGCCATACAGGTGAGCAGCTATGAGTAAGCTATAGCCATACAGGTCGCAGCTATGAGTCAGCTATAGCCATACAGGTAACAGCTATGAGTCAGCTATAGCCAGACAGGTAACAGCTATGAGTCAGCTATAGCCATACAGGTGAACAGCTATGAGTCAGCTATAGCCATACAGGTGAGCAGCTATGAGTCAGCTATAGCCATACAGGTGAACAGCTATGAGTCAGCTATAGCCATACAGGTGAACAGCTATGAGTCAGCAATAGCCAGACAGGTCACAGCTATGAGTCAGCTATAGCCAGACAGGTCACAGCTATGAGTCAGCTATAGCCATACAGGTGAGCAGCTATGAGTCAGCTATAGCCAGACAGGTCACAGCTATGAGTCAGCTATAGCCATACAGGTGAGCAGCTATGAGTCAGCTATAGCCAAACAGGTCGCAGCTATGAGTCAGCTATAGCCATACAGGTCACAGCTATGAGTCAGCTATAGCCATACAGGCGAGCAGCTATGAGTCAGCTATAACCATACAGGTCACAGCTATGAGTCAGCTATAGCCATACAGGTCACAGCTATGAGTCAGCTATAGCCACAGAGGTGAACAGCTATGAGTCAGCTATAGCCAGACAGGTCGCAGCTATGAGTCAGCTGTAGCCATGCAGGTAACAGCTATGAGTCAGCTATAGCCATACAGGTCGCAGCTATGAGTCAGCTGTAGCCATACAGGTAACAGCTATGAGTCAGCTATAGCCATACAGGTCACAGCTATGAGTCAGCTATAGCTATACAGGTGAACAGCTATGAGTCAGCTATAGCCAGACAGGTCGCAGCTATGAGTCAGCTATAGCCAGACAGGTCACAGCTATGAGTCAGCTATAGCCATACAGGTGAGCAGCTATGAGTCAGCTATAGCCATACATGTAAGCAGCTATAAGTCAGCTATAGCCATACAGGTGAGCAGCTATGAGTAAGCTATAGCCATACAGGTCGCAGCTATGAGTCAGCTATAGCCATACAGGTAACAGCTATGAGTCAGCTATAGCCAGACAGGTAACAGCTATGAGTCAGCTATAGCCATACAGGTGAACAGCTATGAGTCAGCTATAGCCATACAGGTGAGCAGCTATGAGTCAGCTATAGCCATACAGGTGAACAGCTATGAGTCAGCTATAGCCATACAGGTGAACAGCTATGAGTCAGCTATAGCCAGACAGGTCACAGCTATGAGTCAGCTATAGCCAGACAGGTCACAGCTATGAGTCAGCTATAGCCATACAGGTGAGCAGCTATGAGTCAGCTATAGCCATACAGGTAAGCAGCTATGCGTCAGCTATAGCCATACAGGTAACAGCTATAACTCAGCTATAGTCATGCAGGTAACATCTTTGAGTCAGCTATAGCCATACAGGTGAGCAACTATGAGTCAGCTGTAGCCAGACAAGCAGCTATTAGTGATCTCTAGGCACAATGGATAGACAGTAGTAAAATCACCCTGCGAGTCTTATTCTCAGAACAAGGGCCACGTCGTTGCTCACACACCACGTGCGTCTGTCTGTCTGCTCGACACAGTCGCGATTTCTGCTGTCGGCACTCGTGTTTAGTGTCCTACGAGTGCTTCTGGGGGCGATGGTGATGAGTGCATGACGTGGAAGACGACGACGAGCTTCTTCTGCTGTCGCTGTCTGTCTGCGCCGGGGTTTCCCAGCAACGTCTCCTTCCTCTTCCTCCTCCTCCTCCATCGAGTCGTCACTTTCTGCGTGGCTCGATTCTAGCAGTCGTCATTTTCCTGGAACGCAGCAAACTGATGGGGGTCACCGCGGGCTGGGCCACCAGCACCAACCACCGATGATGACGGTGGTTGGCGGTGCTTGGCAAAGCTGTCCACCCATACGGTTTACCCAGTCTTCTTTGTACAGGTCCACGCGGCGGTACAGGCCGTATTAAATACGGGCAACATTTTTTTGTCCATTTGTGTTTTTTCCTTGCGATGGGACTTTGTAGGATGGATGCTGAGATTTATAAGGGCACGAGGTGACCAATAAGGTCTGAATTGGTCTGTAATAAGGTAGGCACTTTTTCTTCTTTGGTTCTTTCGGTAAAGTCACGTAGAATGAGAATAAAATAATAAATTGATAAAATAAAATAACACAATAATATTCTCACGACGTTTCGGCCACAACACAATGAAGGCCGCGAGACTGTCTGGTAGGACAGCGCTGTCCTACCAGACAGTCTCGCTCCCTTCACCTGATGAAGGCCGCTTGTGTTGTGGCCGAAACGTCGTGAGAATATTATTGTTATTTTATTTTATCAATTTATTATTTTATTCTCATTCTACGTGACTTTACCGAAAGAACCAAAGAAGATGAATCAAAGCTTTAAATCGAAAGGTAGGCACTGATTAGGGATTGGCAGGTATCAGTGATGCAGTATGGTAATGACTTTTAAGGCCTATTGCCGATTATAGTACAGCGTTCCTACTGTCATTTGGTAGTGTTGATTATGACACTACCAATGCAGTCCATTGATCAGTGTCACTTAAACTGTATTACATATATATTCTTGGTTCTTTCGGTAAAGTCACGTCGAAGGGAAACAATAAAATAGTAAAATTATAAGACATATAGCCTGGGAAATAAATCTAAGCTTTTCAATATTTCACGAATAAACGAGACCTCCTTGCTCATATCTGTGACCTCCGTGTTCTTCTTGAGCTCCTTCACTGGGTTGACAGGTGTGGTAATATCTGAACCTGTTTTTATATTTGAGGGGCTCGCTAGGTCAGAGTGCTGAGCTTGCACGACTGAGAGCCACGTTGGTTAAAATCCAGGCCAAGCTGCTTGTGATGTAAACTGGGTTCTCAAGTGTGGCGAGTTGATGGTCTCAGACTGGTCACACTGCATGGATACAAAAAAAAACCTCACTTACGTTCAAGTTTGGACTTCACTTGATGTGGATAAATGCCACCTCTAAGAATTAAAATATCGGGTTGACTGTCAAATGACGGACGCTCTTCTTGCATGCAGGGCGGAGAGGGGAGGTGCTTCCCCCGACTGCATCCACCGTATGGAGCAGAGGGCCCCGCTCCAAGGGATAGAGTTACCTCTGTGGTATTACTTTAATTGGGCCGTCACCTGACGAAGCCTCACAATGCTCTCAGATCTGATGGACATTTAATCTCATGACATGATGCTCCGATTAGCACGGTTGAATACGTATAGTGCGACAAAAGTTCAACATGCAGTACATATCAGTGACGTGCGACGAGGTCAATGGCTGGGGAGGCACTGGCTAGTGTCAGAGCCAGATTCAGAGGGGGCGTGGCCACACTGAGGGTGTGGCCTCAATGAGGGGCGTGTCCTCAATGAGGGGGCGTATTAGACACGCCCCCCTCAGTGATGCAGATGTGATAGCTGCCTCCCCTGGTGCTTTTTCATTGCAGTTTTATGACGAGACCAGCGAGCCTAAATGTATTTATACACATACGTGAAATAAGTTATCTGGAGTATGGAAGGCGAGGACATGAAATGAAGGGGTCTACAAACATTACATCGGTGACATTCTGAGATGGTAACAGGCACGCGCTTATTGCCCGCGCTCCATCCAGTTACTGAGGTGTTGCGCAATCAGAGGGGAGGCTGAGCTCGTCGCTGCCTCACCTCTCGCCTCTTCCTGCATTTGCAGCGGAGCTCCACAAATTTGGCGATTTTGACCATAAAAATGATTGGAATCGTACAGAAATGGCATTTGTAACACAGATCAGTGGAAAAATCTTAATATTTATTTGATTTGATTCTTTTTTAACTTTTCGTAACAGCTATTTTCATTGGAGTATGACAGGTGAGGCTCTGCCTCCCCTGCTCCCCCTGACTGCACATCCCTGGCACATACATACTGATAGCACATTTGTTAAATTTGGGTTTAAGAAATATTTGCAACTATTAGTTTAAGTGGCATGTAAAGAAGCAGTTTATTTTTGTTGCAGACATCACACTCATGTGGTGTGTGTGAACAGTCATGTGCTAAAATCTCTCCGCACAATGTTATTACACAAAAACAATCACTCGACGCAATGAAACACGGTACGGTACTACAATTGCAAAAAAAAACCCATCCACCCCAACCAATGAAATATTCTTTTTATTCGTTTTTTTTGTTGGTACAGAGCATTTCACTCTGAGCTCCAAACAGCATTAACCCCCACAATTCTACAGCAAAGTCATTTACCATCAGCATGAAAATTCAAAAAATCATCCAAAAGGGGGCACTGATACAATTTCCACTGGCAAGTCCAGGCAGCACAAACACAAATTAAAAAAAAACAAATCATTCACTCTTGTGATCATATACACATCTCATTCTGTACAAAAGGCCTTTCTTATAAATTATACTTTTGATAATTTAACAGCTGTCTACATACGACAGTGGAAGCTGCTCTATGTACATAAAACAAGACATGATGGAAATGGTGTATTGTTCGTAAACAACAAAGTCACATAATTTAAAGCAGCATCAGTGGGTATGTTAAAATATTTATAATAATTACTTTAGTCAATGTATTTTAAACTGCATATATCCAATATCAATTCATCTATTCCATATTGCAAATGCGGTGAATGTGGCTATGGTGTTGCGTTTATTCGAATCGGCCAGCTTAGCCAATAGATCTATGAATAACTGGCCATTGAAAATATAGCAGCATAAACTGTAGAGCTTTAAAAATCTAATTTGACATTTACAGTCGAACACAATGAGCAGGACACTTTGCCCACTCTTTAAAGAACAGGGCAATGCTATCTGGATAGGCAGCCACATGAAAAGCTCTTCTCGGTAAAAGCACACCTCGCAGACTCTCCCACAAGTTGGATTAGCATCATTGCTCCTTGGGATATACTCTTTTTCTGTGCAATATCAGGCTTGCTTTAAAGACGTGCCCACGTACAACTTCAAAACTCATGAATGCAGCGCTTACAACACGTGCCCCATGGTGACCACGCAAGCTGCCAACATTGAAGAAACAATCTGAGGTAGATATCATCTGCATCTCCTGGTACAAAGCAGGAGGTATCCACTGGAAGACTTAATTCCCAGTAACCCTTTCCAGCTTGAAGCATGATGGCAGCCTTTGCATATTCCAAGGGAACAAACCTGGGAGAGACTGCCCTTTAACTTTCAATAACTATGGTGCAGACCAGTTTTGTAATTTGTTTTAAGCCTTCATTTAAATGCACCTAAGAAAACAAAAGCGCACACTTGCCCTGCACATTCATGCCAAAACAAAACCAAAGATTTTACTTAGCTACGAGAGCATCCAAGTCTTTGGTTAATGACCCAACCTGACCAAAGCATGTTCCACAACTGCAACTCACACAAGTGCTATTCTCCTCTTCTGGCTGAACAATCCTAATAATCGTGTCCTCATTGTTGTTTTCCAGAAACAAGTGATAGTCTGATTCCATGCCAGCACACAGCCCTTACACGTTCAAAACTAATATATATTATTACCATTACAGTAACGTTTTTTTTTATGCATCGTTAAAAACATCATTATTTTGATATCAACTAAAGTTTGTTGACCGTCTTCTTGCTGTGAAGGTTTAGGAAGTATTAAACACAAAGATAAACCTTATTTCTATTAAAACTAGTCTATGATTGGTTCAAAATAACGTCTCAAAAACATTCTCACTTAGATTATCAGCACTCATATCTAAACATACAGATTTCCACTCCAAATCCTGCTTCACAAAGGTATTTTTAGGTTTTTTTGTTTAGCTTTTTTGTTGTTTTTGTCATTTTATTTAAATATCAGTATCTCTTTTTCATAAAATCTATCCTACAAGATTTCAGAATTAGTTTTCCCATTTAAAACAAGTATCAAACGTTAAATCAGAAAAATCCATACATTTCCTTTTGTAACAAAAACAATGAAGGAAAACATCTTCTAAGAATGAAGACCGCAATAACGTAACATACTATTACATCGAAAACATTACCTACAGCACGGCAAGAATATACACCAATCACCAGTAATTCGCATGTCCTACAGTCTCAAAGACAAAAATTTTAATCGCAATCAATATTTCAAAGGACACACAAAAGCCAAAACTATAAAATAAGGCGAAAACAACTGCTGATCATTTTCTTTGAACATTCTTTGAAAGATTTACAACACCAATGACAAAATAAATAAATACAAATCACAAACACCATTGCCTTAAAGCCCCACCAGTTCCCACAAACAAAATGACCCAGAAAAGTTCTGATTATGCTATAAATGGATGTAGCAAAGCCAAAGACTGTGCTGTAAATGTTCCAGGATGTTTAGGAGATCCTGGCAGAGTCAATGTAACACTGATTTTTTTTAAAATCAGTTATCACGGTAATATAAGCACCATCAGAACCCACAAAATAAAGATTTATAAAATATATCTTTTGATAATTTCAAGTTTTTTTTCTTTAAATGACTTTTGGTAAAATAAACATATTACAAGTACAGATGGTGTGAGAGTAGGGATGTGGAAAAGTTATTTGAATTGACATTTCGTGGATATTAAAATTTAACCTTTCCGTAGTGAACAATAATAATAAAATTGCATCCATGCCAAAAGCACTTCAGGTTGAAGGCAACTTTGATCTCTTCATCAGCCAGTTTTCAAGTCAGGCTTCATCTGAAAAAAACAAAACAATACTTTTAATAGAAAAAAGCAATCAAGCTCAATATTTAAAAAGAAACAGCTGTGATCAAACAGTTTAATTCCAAATTTCTGGAGTGTGTGGTGTGATACAAGATCTAAATACAACAGTAAATATTCATACCTTGCATCACTTTGCTTGTTGGTATGAGTACTGGGTATGCTCTGTGGCCTCCATAGAGACTCCTTGTTGCTGCCCGCTAGAGTCCTACAAAGAGAATTCCAATTTAAAGAAATGCATATTTTTTTATTTAAAGCTTTCGTGACTGCAGGGATTCACATTCTTGGTTCTTTCGGTAAAGTCACGTAGAAGGGAAACAATTTTTTTTTTAATTTTCAAAATATATATATTTTTTATTTTATTGTTTCCCTTCTACGTGACTTTACCGAAAGAACCAAGAATATAGAAATGCATATTGTTATAAAGAAAACAAATCCGAAAGGAACACAGAATCTAAAGAGGCTTAAACAGGCACAGCCCTGCAAATGATTGCTCACACCACTGCTGGTGGAAGGCCTCCACTCGATGCAGCTTGATAGAGAGCCTCTCCTGAGGGCATTTCGAAAATTCTAAAGTCCACATTTTGGGGAGGGCGGCGAATTCTTCGTAGAATTCGAGAGACACCGTGATGGGAATGAGATGATGGTATATTTTCTCCATTTGGATTTTGGAAATAAATAGTTAAAATCTACTATTTGTAATATTCGCACGAAATTTGGAGTGTTTATTAGTCACATTCCATGCAGTTCCTTTAATCTGCAAATGTTGAAATTTTGACTTAAAACTTTCATGACTGCAGGAATTAATATTCTATGGTTTTTTTCGGTAAAGTCATGTAGATAGACAAAATAACAACAATAAAACAAAAATATATATTTTTTAAATGAAGTGAATTCACTGTATTTTCATTTTTATTGAATTAACTTTATTAAAAAAATGTATTTGTATTATTTTATTGTTATTATTTTCTCTATCTACTTTCCTGCAAATGTTTGTTGTGGATTTTTGGAGTAATTACCGCAGTTTGTCGCAGATTACAGGTTCCACGAAAAAACCATCCCCATATGGCCGCAGAGTTCAACTGTATAACCAAGTACATTTGAGATGATTTTTTGAGTAGTTGACAATCAACCTCCCAGAAAATATCAGAATGTTACGATTTTGTAAAAGACAATAAGTACACAGTAGTTAGTGTACTTCATGATTCTTGATAGGAAATGTCAGCATATGTGTATTACTCAAGGCCATATCAAATAATCTAAGAGTCAAAGGTAAAACTTACATCGACAGCGACTGATGAGGCATTGATAGGGGTGTACTGGGGGATGTAAGTGCCCTGGTGTCCGGTTGTCATGTACTGTCAAAAAACAACAACATGGGTACATATTTAATCCACAACAGCCCACATTAATCATACAAAACTCTCCATGTAGTCTATTACTTATGTAGCTATACCTGCAACCAAAGAGCCGTGGTTCTCAACTGTCACGACCTTGTTGATGACCTTTGTCTCTGACCAGCATATCTCTATAGGTGCTGTATTAAGATGGTGCGCCAGGTGGCAGTCTTTGATACAGGTGTCGAAGACATGTATTCCAGCTTTCAAAATAAGTAAATTTAACCCACTCAAATGTGAAGCCATTAGATACATTCCAGCATGCATAAAGGATTGATTAGGTTGTGTGCCTAATAATTTGAGAACAGAATTAATTATTTGGTTAATGTATAATTAGCTTAAACAGATACATGGATTTGCTTATGCTGTATGATGGAATTGTTAGAAATAACATGTAGTGTAGGAAAGGCAGATTACGGGGATTTTTTTAAAGATATTGCACGTTAAATAGTACTGCATAGTAATGCATGCACAGTGTGTTATTAATTGTAAAAACGAAATAATATTTTCACAGGTAATATGGAAAAAGTATAATTTTAAAAATAAAAAATACAGGTATATTTTGTTACATGTTCATCAAATTACATGTCAACTGCGGGAAAAAATAGACAATATTTGTGATTCGTGAACTTTTAATTAAAAGTAGAATTATACATAACCAATAAACAAGACAAGAAAATGAATAAAGGGTGGTTTTTATTCATGAAAGTTTTTTTTTTTAATCTGAGTTCAACGCTGGCTTCTTAAGGCCGTCCGCGTCTGTGCTTTCATCACGATACTTACAGTGGGTGTGCTGCCCAGTGACAGGTGACTCATCTGCTGTGCGAGTGGTCCCATCATTCCCGCCTGCTGCAAGGACATGGTGTGATCCAAGGTAGGAGATATCACAGCGCCCTGGAGGCCATACAAGCCACAGTGCAGTGTTACACTATCATGACAGGAAGATGGAAAACATGTTTGCGTGTAGCAGTATGCACAGGAGATGTTACTGTCCTTGATTAATTAATGAGGACACGAGAAATGGCTCTTCCATGACCAACCTTGTTTTTATTATTAAAATAGTATCAATAAATTATGTATTGACAGCTTGAAAGCTGTAGATAAATAAAACATATACGTGGAGCAATTAATTTAAGGACACGTAGTGGAAAATAAATGTCCAGCAAATGAACATAATTCGATAAAATAAACTATTTCCACACAATTACTTTTCATGCAAAACATATTGCTTTGACTGATATGCTGTAAACAAAAGCATACCCACTGGCGTTACATTTAAGGGATAACTTGGCCTAGTTTAGTGAATGTCACCTGTGATGTTAATCCATTAGGAAATGGCAGTGTGCCTGAAGGAGGGCTGGTTGGGCTCTGTGTGTTTGTGCCCTAATTGAGGGAATTATTGCACCTCTTGTTCCTGCTGATATGGCTTACCGCTGGTGGCATTACATACTGCTGCTGGGGCATCCAGGACGTGCTGTGAACCTGCAGATCACATTCACCCACCATGTACATGCACATTAAAATACTCGCAGTCACACACCGTGTATGTAAACATTGCAATGCTCGCGAGAGAGTCATGTACGTACACATTCGTTTGGCGATTGCGATGCCTTGCTTTCCACTTATCTCACTGTGAGTATGAACATTTCATGAAAAGCATGCATCCCAGAATGCCCAATGTGCTAATTAATGGTTCGTGTTGCTAAGCTTAGAGCGTTGGTATATTCTACTCATCATTTCACCTTTGGGTAATGTCCAACATCGTGTTGAATACTACTGGCATTGAAGTGTATATGCAGTTTTTTTAAATGGAGAAACAGATAGTGTACATTTTTATTATGAGTGTGTAATGAATTTGATTTGGAATTATTTGTATTGTAGTTATGTAAACCTTTGTTTAGTAAACATTTGCCTTATTTGAGCTTTTTAAAACACCGATCAATAAATGAATAATTTTCAAGCAGACCACATTACCCACACCTATTAGCACACTTGTAAATTGTGTCCATGGAACAACCAACCCAAGTAACCCTGCGTTGGACTTGGTTGACTTTACTTCTCCCAGAACTAAAGTTGAGGGACAACTCAAGTTAGCAAATAAAGAGCGGCATTTTCATGATTTGCTAAACAGGTCGAGTTATCACCAGTTGGGGAAATCTTTCCCAGAAACAATCCTAGATTAAGACTTCCCAGAAATTCTTGTAGGTAAAATGTCAAGACCATATCACTGACAAAATTAAACGTAAATTGTTTGATGTTAAAATCAATGTAAAATTATTATTATTCCACTGCCTACAGCATTTTTGTATTGAAACATGTTTCTTGGTGTGTTTCCGTTCAGTTATAATTCCGACTTCGGGAATTCAAGCCAGACCCTGAAAAAACCGTGGCCCAGAGAATTCTGACCACGACCTAATTAACAGCCAACTCCAGTTGACACACACAAATTGCAACGTGCTGGCAGGATAAAAAAATAATAATTTCGAACTCGATTTACGTGGCTCGTGGAAATGAGAATTGCATAATTCAGTCTATAGTGTAAATGTTGTGGTACCTGATATGTGGAGATGGGGCTAGCAGCCAGGTACGGTGCCATCTGAGTGTGGGACACCATGCGGTTAGCTGCCATGCTGTACGGTGTAGAATAAAACCTATGACACACAACAAAGTGTAACAACTACAATCAGGGTTATGAATATACCAGGAGTAAAGCTGTTGTTTAGCATTTTCAAGTGTTCATTTTACCTGTTTTTGTTGAGTTGGGATTTGTCATCAATTTAACTTCACTTTCAGAAATAAGAATTGACAATGTCATGATAAAAGTTTTGTTTACAATGTTTTGGTATATTTTACATCATATTCAACACTATATTCAACACCAGTAGTAAAAATAAGGATTAAGAAATTTAAATAATTGAAAAGACTGCTAAATTAGAGGTAGGCACAGCATTTCAAATATGTTAACATTCGGTAATTAAAATATGAACACATACACTTTAGTTGAACCACAAGGGCATAATGTAATAAAATGTGCACAATTGGTGCAATTAAGCTTACCCATTATGTAAAGCAGCTGCAGGATCATACGTTAAGGTCATCCCAGTCTGTGGGTTTTTAAAAAAACAGAAAGGGTATCAATACAATTTTATTTGTAAAAAAAATCTCAGATAAAACAACACAAGTTAATTATTAGACAAATGGCAACAATATAAGATAGTAATGTGTTCCTTGCTTGCTTTAATGACGCGAATGCATTTTACGTTCCCATTTCACTCTCAACGTTAGCTTATTTGATGCGTTGCAGTCGGCGCGTGTGGGCATGAGAAGTGAAAGCCAGGGTGACTTACGATGCGGCCCTCAGCCTCGCGCTGCCATGCCCGTCCATTCTGCAGGTATTTGTTATGGCTTAGCCTCTTCTTTTGACCCCCGTCTGCAAACTTGCACAGCAGAGGTTCACTGGGCACTGTAAAGAGGGAACAGAATACATACACTGAATGTGCATGAATCTAAATGCTTTCTGCAGTTGTTTTTGCCTGTATCCTACAATGGTTAAGTAGTCGTCACCGTCACTGTTAATCTCACAGTAAAGCATCTTACAGCGCGTGACCCTGGTTCGCCATCACTGTTAATCTCACAGTAAAGCTCTTACAGCGCGTGACCCTGGTTCACCATCACTGTTAATCTCACAGTAAAGCTCTTACAGCACGTGACCCTGGTTCACTATCACTGTTAATCTCACAGTAAAGCTCTTACAGCACGTGACCCTGGTTCACTATCACTGTTAATCTCACAGTAAAGCTCTTAAAGCACGTGACCCAGGTTCACCATCGCTGTTAATCTCACAGTAAAGCTCTTACAGCACGTGACCCAGGTTCACCATCACTGTTAATCTCACAGTAAAGCTCTTACAGCACGTGACCCTGGTTCACTATCACGTAACCACTTCACCAGGACCTTTGATTGCACCTTGGCTGAACTCCTCAACCGTAACCCCAATTTCATCCAGCCTCCAGCATGCCTATGTATCTGATAAAAAGTTGCGATGTACAATGGTGCAGGGATGAGGTGGAGTTGCTCCCTGCCTTAAATAACCTTGCTTAATTTTAACACTGAAAAACATTGCCCGATCACCCGAGGAGTGGGCTATGACAATATAATGTTCTTAAATACCAGTGGGAGTACAACCCTGAGATTTATATATCTGTCATACGTTTCTATGTGCTTATATAGTATGTAAATGTAATCCTATGCTGGGATACTGCATAAATGTAGGTATTTTAATATCGTAGTAAAGCCCACAAACATTATGTAAATGCACAGTAAGAACACGCTGAAGAGAGAAAATTAATGTATATACTGAATGGGATTTTTTTTTATTGCTGCACTCAGAGCACTGTTCACCTCAAAATCATTATTTCTCATGCTGCCGAATGCCGTAATAAATCAAAAAACAATTCAATATTGATGCCAAGTAGTTTAATTAAGTATACAAGCATCGTTAATAACAGTAGTGACAAATATATTAACAGCCTAATAACAAACTTTTCAGCATTACTATTCTAAAATGTTCCAGTTAAAAGGCGGAATTATTATAGTATCCATGCACTATAAATTATTGAAGCACATATTTGCTAACATTATTTGATAATGACCATAGATGACACACAAACAATACGACTGTTCATAGACCAGCACAATATTCACTGTAGTGGCCGCATAGTCAAATTGTATGTGAATATTCAGATAGATGCACATTGTGTTTTTTTCATATTTTTATTTCTACACTTTATCACCAATTTACATTAATAAAATTACCACAATCAAAAAAGGTGGGTAAAGCAAGAGGTGGGTAAAGCATAAAAGGTAATGCGAGAGGTGGAGCGTAATAGTTTGGTTGGAGATTAAGCAAATGCATCCTCATTTATTCCAGGTCAAACCACAAGGGTCAGGATGTGGTTACCTCAATTTCCTGGCAACTGGAATATCCAGAGCCCCAAGGGGAGAGAATTGCAATCATTAGTGCATTTCCAAACACTAACTCTGCATTCCCTATACATATGTGCTTGATATAATCTAAACAAAGATACACACTGGCAAAATATTCAATAAACCATATACACTATGACCAGGAAATGTCACTGAAAACATGCATGAAGTTACAATAATAATGATTTACAGCCCATTGTCAATACACTGCTGGATGGGTGCTGTGTCAGCACTGGAGGTTGTTTGAGCATATTTCCCCGTGCAGGTCACTGCTGGTTGATGAAGGAGGAGGGTTTGCTAGAAATTATTCAGATATCACTTGCCACCCATGTCAGCCGTGGCCAGGAATCCAACTTAGGTGCCCATGTGAATCACTGCACCACCACTCTAATGAAATGTTTATATACGCAGTAGCCTTACTATGAGTGTATATTTATGTAATACTTAAATTTGTAATGCCATTCAGTGAAGTCTTTCTAAGTAATATTACAGAAGGATTATTCACATGGGAAACTAGGCACTATTCTAGTATATGCTCGCTAACCAGTGGAGCACAAGTATTGACCGAGATCTACATTGCCTCAAGGTAGAGATCTATGCATGTGTTAATGCTTTTATCTGCTATGCCTTATCCTGTTCTGTAAATAGTAACAGAGAGGAGCACATAATTGATCCAATCAAATTAATTCCGCAAGGAGAGATTTTAATGGAAAATAGGCCAGTAACATGCATGCAAGTATGTCTGGTAACCAAATAAGTAAAACATAAAAAAATAAATGGATACAGTATTTCATTAAACAGGCCTATCACTGTCAATGTGCCATTCAGCACAGCAGAAGGCAACTAAATATTCTAACAAATATATGAAACAATTACTTTTTTTTTACATTTTAGGTTGCAAAAAATAGTGACTGTATTGTATATGTCGCAAATATGCAGAACACTGGGGGCATTTTTCTCTTACCCGTACTAAACCACATTTCTCTCTCTGATTCCGGCATCACTGATCAAACTATCTAAAACGGAAATACATCAATTTTGTATGTACATATGTTGAACTTCTTTCGCAACATACGTAGCCAACCGTGCTAATCGGAGGTGTGGTGGTAGGACAACAAACTAAGCACCAAAAGCAGTTCCGAAGAAATGAGTTTTCAATCTCGATTTAAAAGTGCACAGCACTCTCGCCAGGCAACATCGACCAGTTCCAGTCAATAAAGCTGCCGCTGACCTTATGCAGCCGTTTCTGCAGTGACACTGCCATGTTATGGATGCCAATTGCTTGCTTTTGCATGGCTTGGCGACCAGTCTCATAGGGGTGTTATGGGCTGTCATGGCATCGTTTTACAGACCTACTGGCGGCTTCTCCACCCAACATTGGAGCCAGACGAGTGCGGGTTTTAAGCATGTCCTGTTCCTTGGTGCGCAAGTACACGTAGAAGGGGAAACAAGAAAATAATATTATTTTATTGTTTCCCTTCTACGTGGTGACTTTACCTAAAGAACCAAGAATATGAATCCCTGCAGTCACGAAAGCTTTAAATCAAAAGTACATACCTGCTAATGTTTCACTATTAAGTGCTTTCTTGTATTCAGGTGATTGTTCTGTGAAACCATTATTAAGTGGCAGAAAGCAGAACCCACCTGGTACCCCAGGAGGGGAGGTGAGAAACTTTCCATTAAACCGCTGAATGACAGCCTCACACTTTTCAGTAGACTCCATTCTGCAGAGATATATGCCGGACATAGAACGTCACACATTGTGTTAACGAGTTGTCATCCAAACATTCTGATGTTAAGTACGCAGATACGCATGTGAAAGTGGTCAAGTTGTTAACCGTGAGCTTGAATCTCAAACTAAATTCCAAACACCAACATCACAGTATTCCATATCTAGTATTTTTTTAAACAATTGCGTTGACTTCATCATTAGCTATATACTCACAATTGTCCACAGAAACACCAGAAGTGGCAAAAATATCAAGAACAAGGAGATATTGATAACATTGATAGGAAAGCACTCTTATGCCATTGGCCATATATTGCAACGGCATTTCTGGTGAATAGGCCTTGAATACCACGTCAGTTTCCACACAGCCCGGCATCCCCATGATTCAATGATGTTGCCGATTCCACAATCCGACTGGTAATCATATTAGATTCTGATCATAGAATTGTGATTCCAAGCCAGGAGTAATGAGACTTTCCCAGTTCCACAGGCCAAGCAACGTAACTTATTTGTCACGATTTCCACATTATTACTCTATCCACACCGCAACATGGCACTGACGCTTTGCTCTATCTTTATTCCCACTGAATAAAGCTGTTTAACACGTAGGCTTTCCTGACAAACCTTATACTAATAGGTTGTCGGGCGGTGGTGGGTATAATGACACATTCACATTTACGCGATCTAACACGAAAACAAAAACCTCCATCATGGATGAATAAAGCTGGTTACGGTTTTATTTTCCCTTCCAAAACAGAGACGAAGCCTCCACACGGCTCACCTGGCAAAGCCAACTCCCCGGCTGGTGCCCACGATGTCCCGGAGGATACGAGTGGAGATGACGTGGCCAAACTGCTTGAGCATCCCTTCCAGCTCCTGTTCATCGATGGTCACTGGCAGATTGGAGATGTACAGGTTTGTTGGATCCTGTTCCTGTTGCTGCAAAGAATGTGGAAGAAAAGGATAAGGGGTGGGGTGGAAACAACGTGACAATCTCAGAATCTTTATTTAGAGTGGAGGAATCTGATGAGCTATGAAACTCCTCGTCACAGATGAGACACTACACTTGACCTCTGTGACATTATGACACCGCGTCGATGTTGGCAGTTGTGCTACATTGCTCTCCAAGCTGTTTTCAGATTGCACCGCGTGTTGTTCAGCACCATGCCGAACAACACACAGTACAACCCAAAATGACATCACAGAGCTAACCCCTGTACATAATTCTCAATCTTCAATAATAGTATTTATTCATGTCTAAGAACTTTAATAATTGTATACAATGGTTATATTATTAGCTCTTTCGGTAAAGTCATGTTGAAGGGAAACAATAAAATAATAAAATATATATAAATATATTATATAAAACAATATCTTGTATTATTTTATTGTTTCCCTTCAACGTGACTTTACCAAAATAGCTAAGAATATGAATTACTGCAGTCACGAAAGCTTTAAATAAAAAAATGGTTATACTTAACAATGTGCAAATAGTACCACAACATGTATAGTCATTCTAGCAATCCGTTGTACTTCTCCATGCTGGTCAGTGTTGGTTGGCAAAGGTGGGGAGCAAAGACATGGGAGCATAGTACAGTACAACGGTGGCTTGAGTTGCATGGTCCTCTGCTGCCCAAATGGAAGCCCAGCAGCAGAACACAGCATGATGTTGTTCACGGTGCTTGCCCATTCAAGTGCGACGCAAGCTCAAACAATGCCTAGCTCTGAAAATCTGACACAACTGGGTGCATTCCAGGTGATATGCTCATAGCCAGTACCATAGCCATTTATAATGACACGTGTGAACATTTCCTTCAGCGTCTTGGCGTCAAAAATGTAAGCGATCCTCAGCAATGAGATCACTAAAAAAACGTCTCATTAATGCCTCGTCATTTCCATGCGCAATTGTTTTTGTATCTTCTCATTGCTTTGGTCTCTGTTGTTCGAGATTCGTGTTTCTTTCATTTGTATTTAGTTTTCTGTTCTGCTGCTATGTTTGACCTTGTAAAATTTACGTTATTTTATTATTATCTGACGCAACATTAATAATTGCCGTAATCTACCATTGTTATGCTTGACGTAGTTTGACTCAGGCCTCCCTCGAAAAAGTCTCAAATGGATTCTCACATGGTTATAAATTGCATTGTTACTGTAGATGGCATTCATAGTATAAAATATTGGTCGAGTGTTCCATGTGCTGAGAACTTCTGTTGCTTTTATTGTGTTGTGAAAGGTTACTTTAAAGGTTTATACACATTTTAAGAGTACGTGTATATTCAAGTCCACAATGCATTTTACAAAAATAAATTGATCACACAATTGACAGCGCATTTGTCAGGTCAAATACGCGAATAGAATAAATTCCACCTTTCAAAGAGAATTAAACAAAAAAATTCACCCACACTTCATGCATTTCTGAATTTACGAAAGCATTTTTCACCAGTCAGATATACAAACACAGGCACAACTTCAACCGAGAGGATGGTTTCAAATTAAGGAACCACTGGAAAGACGTTTTAAATCATACCAATCGTCAACTAATTTCTAACAGCAATTTCAAGTAGTGGTATACCAAGCATATTCCTGCCGAACTTTCTATGTCCATTTTTCCTACTCCCCCCCTTTACAGCACATTCTTGGCGATCTTTAATTTTTCTATTTTTCCGTTTCTATTGCGCACACACACACACAGTAACCCATCCCCCGCACCCTCTACACACCAAAAGCATGCTAATCCCCCAGTTACATGCTAATTTCTGACTTTAACACCCTGCTGTTTCAACACTTTAACACAGCTATTTCAATGCTAAATTCTCCTGTTTGAAATGTAAACTCCTTTGTCAAGGAGCTCTGCTCCTCCCACCGAGCTTAAAAGACGCTGCGAATTTTAGCAGCGTTCATTGAAGTGCTGTCGTCCCGACAGTTCTGTTCCTTCACCTGAAGAAGGCTACTTGTGTTGTGGCCGAAACGTCGTGTTTTAATTGTTTATTTTATTTTAATTTGTTTTTTTACCTACGTGACTTTACCGAATAAAACCAAAGAGTATTATTAAATTCTGTTGCATAGTGATTAAAAATAACCATAAATGTTCACCACAACTAAAACAATGTAAAATGTCCACTTTTTCTCCCACTGTTCTGTCTGCAATTTGGAATCGTACTAGCCACAGTGGTTGGAGTGGTGGTAGAGTGGTTGGTGCACTGCGCTATGAATCCGGCAACCCGAATTAAATTCATGCACTGACCAGCGTGGTGAAATATGGTCAAATTAAATTATCCCCCCTGACCGGAATGGCACAGAAAAGTCCCTTAACCCATTTGTCGATTGATAATGGCTGGATTTATTAAAATATTATTTTCTATTGGCATCTAATTGCACTGAACCTTCATTTGGAGTTATGCTAATCAAGAAAAAAAATATGCTATGAAGAAGGGTTATTACCCAAAAAACATCCCTATTATGTGCGTATCCTTTTAAGGCAGCGTCATTGATTAATGTGTTGACGTTTTAGGATATCCATAGCAGAGCTAGGCACACACAGTAGGGAGAATTTTGCTCAACAACATATCACTCCGATGGCAAATGACAGCTCTGGAAATTGTTGTCTAGCCATCTTGGTTTCATGGAACAGTGTGCCCCTTGTAAATGGTAAATTCTGAGAAAGGTCAGAATAATAGCTTCTTAAGATTTGTGGTATATAAAACCCATGTCCCTGTGGACCTTCATGGCATATTTACATCTATGCCTTAAATTCTCTACCAAATGTCCCTCCCATCCTCACGCCTAATTTGAAATGGGTCCAAAAATGTTCTTAGAACACGCAGTAAATTTTATTCAATAGTAAATGTTACATATTCATTCTGTGGGAAATAATGTAATATTTTAATATACTGCAGGTTTGTATGTTTGTCTTCTGCGTGGACACATTATGCATACAGTACGTAATGTGTATGCTATAAATACGTGTGATTCTATAATTGTAGAGCATAACCTGTACGTTATGGGGCATAAATTGTTACTCATTAAGTAACCCACTTGCTCGATAGTAATACGAGATCAACAGTGGTAGAAGTCGTTATGGTGTGCGTGATTTTTCTCAAAGTGTCCTCTAGCATAGGAGTATGATCTGTCGGGGCACACCAGATTTAAATAGGATGAAGGAAACAAATATCAAAGAAGCAGTAGGCAATGACAGTTGAAGTCTAACACGCGAGTCGCAACCTCCCTTCAAAGAGATGAGAGGCCAGAGGAGTGACACTCAATATATAATTTTGTCATCATGCCGAAAGGTACCTTTTGGTTCTAAGGATAACAGATGATTATTTGGCATATTTTTTTTTAAACATGTTACAGACAACACTTTGCCAGCAATAAAACAGCATCAATCGTGCTTATCACAAACAACAAGCAGCTGGGGATATTAATTTGTAAGGAAAAATATAACAAAATTTACTGTATACTAATGGCTAACGGGAGTACTGTGCCTATTTGTAACAGGGTGTGGTTTCCATGATAAGTATTTACTATATTTACTTTCAGTATCAGTTTTATATTTCATTGGCATGACATTTAAGCAAATAGCAGAGTATTTCTTCAAGTATTTAGAATTCCCTTGGGTACTTCTAACATTTAGTTTTAGTAGAAGAGAGCTGTGTTCAACTGTAAAGAAACAGGTACTGCACTCTCCTTTGATGCAAGGATCATAAATGTATAGTTTCCATGATTGCCTAAGTTTGATGATTAACTACATTGGTGTTTCATCAGTTTAGAGAGATTTTGTTGATTTTTTCAACAATAAAAATGTCAAATTACACAATGACACGTCGAAGCTCTTTGAACGTATATTTAATCTTGTAATCCTCTCCACACCTTTCCGAAATTGTTAGCGTCATATTTTTCGACACAGCATTTCAATTGCATTACAATTGATGTTTCCCCATTGCCGTCTGCATTAAATGAGAAGAAACACCAGTGCCGGTTTGTGTCACAGTGGTCATTTCCTTCTTTCACTGCATGGCAGGTATTGGTCAGTGTGTTAAATTGCCTCTCTGCTCTTGACCGCTGGACAGCGTGATAAAAAGGGGTGGGTGAAGGGACAGAAGATAAAGTGGACAGAGGCTGCCCATATTTAGAGGCAAAGATATCTGACTTGTATGAAACAAAGATGGTCCTCTGCCAGAGCTCAGACACAGATAATTATCCCTCCGTTATGATGCAGCTGTTAAGAACATTCAAAACACGATGAAGCTCAAGATCTGGTAGTTTTAAAGGCACCATCCAAACATCTTACTTTTTCGCAAAGATTCCTTTACAAGAAATTGGGAAATGTGGATGACAGTTGACACAAGCAAACATTTCACTAATCATTCAATATCATATTCTTGGTTCTTTCGGTAAAGTCACGTAGAAGGGAAACAATAAAAAAATATATAAAACAATAAAATTATCACGACGTTTCGACTGCAACACAAGCAATCATCATCAGGTGTGAAAACCACAGCAAGAAAATTTGAAAAAAGTGGCGGTTTTTTTATTATTATTTTTACTATTTTTATTGTTTCCCTTCTACGTGACTTTACCGAAAGAACCAAGAATATGAATCCCTGCAGTCACGAAAGCTTTAAATCAAAATTCAATATCATATTACACACATGTGCACAATACTGCAATGGTCCACGTAAATGCATTCAAAATTCGTCAGTCTGCTGCATTTTTTCAACACGTGCACAGAGGCCTGCAGAGGAGATAGCTCGGAAGCACGTGCAGAGTATTTGACATGTTACCTTGCACCTACAATGTATTTATTCACTGGAACCTATACTGGCTTCAGGGCTGGATTGTCCACTGTGGGGTCCATGCTCAGCCTGCTCCCAACCGCAGCCATCAGGAGAAGGAAGCGCTGGCTGTGGACGCAAACACATTGCCCTGGTCCATCCTTG